CGCAGGCAGTCAGGTGTAAAGTTGTAGAGGGGGGGGGGGGGTAGTCGCAGGAAGTCAGGCGTAAAGTTGTAGAGTGGGGTAGTCGCAGGCAGTAAAGTATCTGTCCCTCTTCAAGTATCTGTCCCTCTTCAAGTATCTGTCCCTCTTCAAGTATCTGTCCCTCTTCAAGTATCTGTCCCTCTTCAAGTATCTGTCCCTCTTCAAGTATCTGTCCCTCTTCAAGTATCTGTCCCTCTTCAAGTATCTGTCCCTCTTCAAGTATCTGTCCCTCTTCAAGTATCTGTCCCTCTTCAAGTATCTGTCCCTCTTCAAGTATCTGTCCCTCTTCAAGTATCTGTCCCTCTTCAAGTATCTGTCCCTCTTCAAGTATCTGTCCCTCTTCAAGTATCTGTCCCTCTTCAAGTATCTGTCCCTCTTCAAGTATCTGTCCCTCTTCAAGTATCTGTTTCCAGCCGTCTGGACTCCCGCGATAGCTCAACTGAAAATGTCCTTATTGATAATTGATAGAATACACGGCGAGACATGGCCTTTGTCCCACTGGACACATTGAAACAACACGCAAAGCTAAAGTGTAGTTGTTAGGGAGAATGGTCCGTTGTTAGGGAGAATGGTCCGTTGCTGTGTGTAGGTGGGAGTGTTAGTGGGTTAGTGTATGGGTTAGTGTAGGGGTTAGTGTATGGGTTAGTGTAGGGGTTAGTGTAGGGGTTAGTGTATGGGTTAGTTTATGGGTTAGTGTAGGGGTTAGTGTAGGGGTTAGTGTATGGGTTAGTGTATGGGTTAGTGTATGGGTTAGTGTATGGGTTAGTGTAGGGGTTAGTGTATGGGTTAGTGTAGGGGTTAGTGTAGGGGTTAGTGTAGGGGTTAGTGTAGGGGTTAGTGTATGGGTTAGTGTATGGGTTAGTGTATGGGTTAGTGTATGGGTTAGTGTATGGGTTAGTGTATGGGTTAGTGTATGGGTTAGTGTATGGGTTAGTGTATGGGTTAGTGTAAGGGTTAGTGTATGGGTTAGTGTAGGGGTTAGTGTATGGGTTAGTGTAGGGGTTAGTGTATGGGTTAGTGTAGGGGTTAGTGTAGGGGTTAGTGTATGTGTTAGTGTATGGGTTAGTGTATGGGTTAGTGTATGGGTTAGTGTATGGGTTAGTGTATGGGTTAGTGTATGGGTTAGTGTAGGGGTTAGTGTATGGGTTAGTGTATGGGTTAGTGTATGGGTTAGTGTATGGGTTAGTGTGTAGATGTGAGAGATGACGTCATCCAGGAAGGGCTGATTTGAAATGTCGAGGTCACCTGGTCCAGTTCTCTGTGTATTGATTTCCTTACGCTTCGTTGTTTCACTACATACATGTACACAGTTATTTTTAGATTTGTACACCTTATTTAATTAGCAATATGCGCGCGCATCTCATATTTCTAAAAATTGATTTTCTACAGCTGAGTTAGTGTAACACTAACTCCTTAGTGTAACTCTAATTCCTATTAACATTGAATTTTAAAATTGGGTTTCCGTGAAAGTGTGCCTTGATCCAGGGGATGTCAAACCAATCTAGCTCTCTCTACACTCACTGGCCGGGACGCTAAGGACGATCTAGGATTCTAGGTCATGCACAATGTGCACATTTCTCCTTTCAGACTTTAAGATGCATGAGGCAGACTAAGTAGTCTTGATATTGACCTGGGGGTATGATGGGATAGTATGGTCAGCACTCTGTCCTTAGCGTGTGTCAGGTCCCAACCTTAGCTGGCTGGCCTAGAGTCAGGTCCCGACCTTAGCTGGCTGGCCTAGAGTCAGGTCCCGACCTTAGCTGGCTGGCCTAGAGTCAGGTCCCTACCTTAGCTGGCTGGCCTAGAGTTAGGTCCCAACCTTAGCTGGCTGGCCTAGAGTCAGGTCCCGACCTTAGCTGGCTGGCCTAGAGTCAGGTCCCGACCTTAGCTGGCTGGCCTAGAGTTAGGTCCCAACCTTAGCTGGCTGGCCTAGAGTCAGGTCCCAACCTTAGCTGGCTGGCCTAGAGTCAGGTCCCAACCTTAGCTGGCTGGCCTAGAGTCAGGTCCCTACCTTAGCTGGCTGGCCTAGAGTCAGGTCCCTACCTTAGCTGGCTGGCCTAGAGTCAGGTCCCAACCTTAGCTGGCTGGCCTAGAGTCAGGTCCCAACCTTAGCTGGCTGGCGTAGAGTTAGGTCCCAACCTTAGCTGGCTGGCCGTCAGGTCCCAACCTTAGCTGGCTGGCCGTCAGGTCCCAACCTTAGCTGGCTGGCCGTCAGGTCCCAACCTTAGCTGGCTGGCCTAGAGTCAGGTCCCAAACTTAGCTGGCTGGCCTAGAGTCAGGTCCCAACCTTAGCTGGCTGGCCTAGAGTCAGGTCCCAACCTTAGCTGGCTGGCCGTCAGGTCCCAACCTTAGCTGGCTGGCCTAGAGTCAGGTCCCAACCTTAGCTGGCTGGCCGTCAGGTCCCAACCTTAGCTGGCTGGCCTAGAGTTAGGTCCCAACCTTAGCTGGCTGGCCTAGAGTCAGGTCCCAACCTTAGCTGGCTGGCCTAGAGTCAGGTCCCAACCTTAGCTGGCTGGCCTAGAGTCAGGTCCCAACCTTAGTTGGCTGGCCTAGAGTCAGGTCCCAACCTTAGCTGGCTGGCCTAGAGTCAGGTCCCTACCTTAGCTGGCTGGCCGTCAGGTCCCAACCTTAGCTGGCTGGCCGTCAGGTCCCAAACTTAGCTGGCTGGCCTAGAGTCAGGTCCCAAACTTAGCTGGCTGGCCTAGAGTCAGGTCCCAACCTTAGCTGGCTGGCCTAGAGTCAGGTCCCAACCTTAGCTGGCTGGCCTAGAGTCAGGTCCCAACCTTAGCTGGCTGGCCTAGAGTCAGGTCCCAACCTTAGTTGGCTGGCCTAGAGTCAGGTCCCAACCTTAGCTGGCTGGCCTAGAGTCAGGTCCCAACCTTAGCTGGCTGGCCTAGAGTCAGGTCCCAACCTTAGCTGGCTGGCCGTCAGGTCCCAACCTTAGCTGGCTGGCCTAGAGTCAGGTCCCAACCTTAGCTGGCTGGCCGTCAGGTCCCAACCTTAGCTGGCTGGCCTAGAGTTAGGTCCCAACCTTAGCTGGCTGGCCTAGAGTCAGGTGCCAACCTTAGCTGGCTGGCCTAGAGTCAGGTCCCAACCTTAGCTGGCTGGCCTAGAGTCAGGTCCCAACCTTAGTTGGCTGGCCTAGAGTCAGGTCCCAACCTTAGCTGGCTGGCCTAGAGTCAGGTCCCTACCTTAGCTGGCTGGCCGTCAGGTCCCAACCTTAGCTGGCTGGCCGTCAGGTCCCAAACTTAGCTGGCTGGCCTAGAGTCAGGTCCCAAACTTAGCTGGCTGGCCTAGAGTCAGGTCCCAACCTTAGCTGGCTGGCCTAGAGTCAGGTCCCAACCTTAGCTGGCTGGCCTAGAGTCAGGTCCCAACCTTAGCTGGCTGGCCTAGAGTCAGGTCCCTACCTTAGCTGGCTGGCCTAGAGTTAGGTCCCAACCTTAGTTGGCTGGCCTAGAGTCAGGTCCCAACCTTAGTTGGCTGGCCTAGAGTCAGGTCCCAACCTTAGCTGGCTGGCCTAGAGTCAGGTCCCAACCTTAGCTGGCTGGCCTAGAGTTAGGTCCCAACCTTAGCTGGCTGGCCTAGAGTCAGGTCCCAACCTTAGCTGGCTGACCTAGAGTCAGGTCCCAACCTTAGCTGGCTGGCCTAGAGTCAGGTCCCAACCTTAGTTGGCTGGCCTAGAAGTAGTATATTAGGTCCATTTTGGGTCGTAGGCATTGCAAATCATGCAGTTAGTAAGCTGACTCACATCCAATTCCGTTATAGCCTGTTTCTTTCAGGCACTTATTTGGGTGGGTAGGGGGGGGGGGGTCGGATTGATAGTAAACGAAGTCCAGCTACACACGCTTGCCGTTTTAGCAGAAATAAAGAAACTTTCGAGAGGGGCTTGAGGCGCACTTAAATTTCGGACACCGGTGAAAGTAGGCCAAAATAGTATATATATATATATATATATATATATATATATATATATATATATATATATATATACATACACACACACACAAGTATTCCCGTCCCTGCGCGTTGCCGCGGAAATAAAAGAAAGTCTGACGAATATATAAGAAGCGTTTCATCAATGCGTTACCAATCCTGTATTCTTAGACGTTTAAATTTAAATGTGACATTGCCTGCTCTTGGATCATCTTTATCGGGGCACGGGTTTCCTACACTACCGCCCAAAAAGTTTTATGGCACTGGGATAAACGGTATCGAAACGCATTCTACTTTCATTTTTTTAATATACCGTATATAGAGAAGAATTGCACCATCTCGGGGCGCCGCCCTTGCGAAATAAAAAAAGTTTTTGTTTCTTTTTACAGAATTCCCCCTCTCCCCTGGAGTGTTCAAATCAACTCCCCAAAGTTTGATGGCGATCGGATGAACGGTGTCAAACCGCAATCGACTTTTATTTTACATACCGTATATAGAGAAAAAACAAATCGCGCCCTGCCGGGGCGCCACTCCTGCGAATTTTAATATTTTTTTTCCGCAGAAACCTCCCCAGGAGTATTCTCAAAAACTTCCCAAAGTTTTATGCCGATCGGATGAAAGGTGTAGTAATGCATAAAAGACAGACAAACAAATAAACAAACAAACACACACACACACATACATTGCTTTTTATATAGAGTCTATATAGATTTTTGACCACTTTCTTCGGTGTCCGGAAATTTGTGCGCCTCAAGCCCCTCTCGAAAGTTTCTTTATTTCTGCTAAAACAACAAGCGTGTGTAGCTGGACTTCGTTTGCTATCAATCATAGAAATTTATATTACCTTCAAGATCTAGAACTAGATCTTGATGTAAACGGAATTCAACTTTTTTTTCACATTATAATATTTTTGCTTCAAAATGTTCAGGTTGCTAAAAATTGGCGCCATTTTGGTGTTCTCTGTTTTCTTCCATATAATTATCACTGTTACGATTTTTGAAAAATTCCCTAACAGAAGTTTGTTAACTTCCGGCCCAACACGTTCCTTTGTGGATGACATTCTAATATTTTTAAAGAATTAGATTTTCTAAATACAATTAGATCTATTAGCTAACATGCAAATAACTATCACTACGTTATCAGACCAATTATTTACTATAGAAGTAAGTGAAGATCTAGAATTAGAAAATTTCAAAGCACTATGTCAAGTTGAGACCGGTGTACCAGCCCAAGAAATGTCGATTGTATGGAATGGCCGACCTCTTCACGACGACAAAATGACTCTTCAGCAGTACGGCATTCAGAATGGAGAAATAGTTTTAATTCAACATTTACGAGGTCAACGACAAGCACAAGCTCCAGGTATAAAAATAGTAGATCTAGAATTTAGGGCCTAATTATGTTTAGTTTTCAATGTGACTTCTAGAATCTAGATCTAAATACAAAAATTAATAGGGGCCCTAGATCTAAATCAGATCTAGAATCTAGATCTAGATCTAATCTAGATTTTTTCATTAGTTACTATTGGCCAAACTTAAAATAGCCTACTTAAATTTTTATTAGGCCTAAAATTTTCTGTTTCTTATCAATATCATAGACAACAACATTACAAACAATATCTTACGGGTTAATTTGAGACCAGAATATATTTCCACTGCGCGGTCACGGTCAAGCCACGAAGCAATCATCGTCTGTTTATTGATTATTGCTTCGTACAGGCCAGGCCTAATAATTGTTTGGATGTTTTATATGAAATACCGGTATCTGCTCTACGCATGTCCATTTCTAAATATATCCAGGTCAAATTCTTTTGTTTTCTCCTTGTGGAAGAAAAGTTTTTAAATTTGTAACTTGAGGTATGACGTCAGCCGGTGATCCCAGTTCCCCTGAATGAAAACACTAGGTCCTGGATGAGAAGAATAAAAACAACCAATCAAAGCTTTTTATAATTAGGTTAACTATAAATAGCTTCTACATATGTGCGGGACACTGTAAATACTATAGCTAAGGCTATTAAAGCAACCTGAGAGGTGAAATGGGGACGGCCGCAGCTTGGATAACGATTAGGGTGGTTTATCCTCGCCTCGTAACCAATGACTTCAGCTAGACTAGCCTAGATCTAGATGCTCTATATTTCAAGCTAAGTCTTGAATCTGTAGGCCTATAGTTTATACATTTTTCTGTTGTTTTAAATTATTTCGATCATCTACTTCTTCTAGAACTAGTTTGTGTCTCCACATACAAGCATGTCTAAGCAAATGTTAGGTTATGTCGATTAAAACGCATAAAATATGATCGTTACACGAGCAGGTGCAGGTGTTCGCATGAGAGAGAAAGGGGGGGGGGATACCGCAAGTAGTGAAGCCACTAAAACATGAATATCTCAAATTCTATGCGTAGGAATACAAAATAACTTACACATATTAGACTAGAATAGCAGCAGAGTAATACAGTACTTTCGGTTTGTTACTGTGTGAAACGATTACAAAATTGCGCCAGATGAAAATCTGGAGTTCGGAATTTTTCGCTTTGTGTGATCGCCTGTGGAAATCTACTCCATATGTAATTTTCTAGCTTACTCAAGGGCATAGGAAACAATAAAATTCAAAATTACTACCCTACTGCTGGTTGCTAACAACAACACACCTTGGCCTACGATTGGGCAATTTTTTCTGCTTTGTTTCGAGAAACCACCTTAACATTAACTTTAAAAATAATTATCACCCGTATTTTAAGCTATTTGAAGATGACAAAGCTACTTTTACCGGGAAAAAAAATATTAACATTTGCTTCTGACCATGGAGGTCCAATGTAAAAATGGGTAAAGTTTAAGTTATTTAAAAACTTAAAATATCGGTCAATAAGGTTCCAAAATTGCTCTGTTAGGTAAGGTATTATTTGATTGTTCTGTTTCTGAAATAAAATTGTAAATTTACTGTACTCATTTTGAGAACACGGAATCGCAAACATGTCACTCAAACAATATTTTTTTTGTATTTGACATTATCGCTATTGATACAGAAGCTGTACAGTAGTATCCTCTGTCGCTGCTTATATAATTGTTTTCTTTTCACTGACACTCTTTTTCGGCCTATTTTGCTAGCGTAATTAGGCTAATTACGCCTAATTATGGATATTTCACCTGGCTTTTGGATTATACTACTAAAAGTATATATAAAAGCCCTTAAACCACAACAATCTGTTGTTTTTTGTTTATATTTTGTGTTGATCCGTGGAATTAGTAGTGATTGTTGGTCTTCGTGTGCTTGTTTAGGCTTAATTATTTATTGTTTTCAAATTTGTTATAGTTTAATTAATTTGTCTTAATTCTTATTGATTTCATAAATTTTAATTAGACCAATTATATTTTACTGGTGTTTGTTGATAATTTTATTAGGCTTAATAGGCCTAATGTTTATATAAATTAAATGATTTTAGTGTTGGGTCAAGGTTTACATTACTAATTGGTACTTAGTAAACCAAGTACGCATAGACTAGGAGGTGTGTGTGCTGTGCCCGCATTGTGGCGGGTGATGCTTCTCTTGCTGACAAAACAGCGCGAGCGAGTCGTGTGTCACACTTGGCCTGTGTCGATATTTGGAATGCAGAGTTCTCGCTCTCAGGTGAAAAATTTTAATGCGCTGACATTTGAAAAATGAAATACTCACATATCTATATAAATACATTTAATTTGAACTGTATATTAATCTAGGCCTACAATACTAATTATAACTTGTGCTAACAAGTACTTGGACTAGATTTAGCACATGCTCACACTGTGCTTTGAGTTTTCTCTCGCCTGTTGACAAAAGAACGCAGGCGGGCTGGCGATGTTTGTAATTTGCCTCAATCTTCACTCACAGGTGATCGATCATTTTAATGCGATTGGCCTCTTTTTATTTTATAGGCCTAATTAATTGTATTTGATAGGCTAACTTTTCTGGTTGACAAAACTACGCAAGCGAGATGTCTGTCATGCACACTGCCTGTGATGCTGTTTAGAATGCATTTCTCGCTAACTTGATCAATTATAATGCTATTGCAGTTTTTAAAAATATAAATAAAATACTTACAAATCTTAACAATATTTTAAACTGGTCTGATGGTTGGGTCCTTGTAAAACGCAAAATGGTGAAGCTGTAAAATGTCTGAAGGGGGCGAAAACTACTCGCCTCAACATTTTTTCTTGCATTTTACCCCCAACTGATTAGTAAGTTTTATGTGGGTAAATTGCTCTTATATCTGGTATGACTACCTACTTTTGGTTCCCAGGGGTAGGCATGTCTGTCCTAATACTAATTCTGCAATAGCCCCATCTCTAATTTATGACCATAAAACTAAACCTAATACACTAACAACCTAACACATCTATTGCTGTTTTGACTAGGATTTTAGCTATTATAAAATGTCTGTTATTCTCACAATCAACTTCTCAGTGTTATTGAATTCTTTTGGTTTCAAGTCAATTTTAATATTATTCCTTTTGGAACCAACACTCATTTAAATGGGGTTAGAAATGGAGGCCTTTCATGGTACCCTTCAGAGCCACCACTGGTTTTGATTAGTCATTGCTTGTAGTATAGTGCTCTTTAAATCTAAGCTCCATAATGCTCACAGAGAAGCACAGACACTGCTGGACCTGAATTATAATTTTATTTTTTCCTTAAACATTTTTAATAGCTGTCTTGATTTTTTAATAAACAGGTATTCCCAACATAGACTTTGGTAGCATTCGTTTACCTGGCTCTACGCAAAATTCAAACCAACTTAGAAGAGAGGATGATCCCATTTATATAAAAGACATGTTGCTCGCTAATCCAAGTCAGTTGGCTTTGCTTAAAGAAAGAAATCCTCCATTGGCTGAAGCTTTGCTTAGTGGCGATACAGGTATTTAATATTTTGTTATATTTAGGTTTTTTCCTGTATTGTACCTATACTTTACATTAAAATGTAGTAATTTTTTCTTTAAAATTTACTAAAAGATTTTCTTCCCAAAGCTAAATTTACTAAAGTATTTGAAGAACAAAGACAAATTCGTGTGAATGAGGAGGAAAAAAGACTTAGACTTTTGAGGGCAGATCCATTTGATCCCAATGCTCAACAGCAAATTGAAGAAGCTATCAGGTATTGTTTAATATTTTGTCTTAATGTATCAGGAGTTTTATTAGATTTTTTAGTAAATCAAATACACCCCTTTTTCATAAGGTTGTGAATGGTGCAATTTGTTTATTTTAAAAAAACCACATTGCACTTTTCCCGGCCTGTTGAATTTGGGCATACACCTTTCTGTTGTCATGTTAGCAACATTTTGGAATAGTAGGGTGAGTTTTCATTTTCAGTAAATATATATTCTTTAGTTGTACACTGTGTTACTCAACTTTTAAAATTTTATTTTTGTATCAATAAACAGGAAATGAAGGCCATAAAGCCAGTAGCACGAGCAGGTCTTGGCAAGTGCAAATTTGTGTTTAAAATAGTTTTAAAATTGCACTTACCCCGGCCTGTTTTTTCTATTTTTAAGCTTCAGTGACTGGATTTTTTATATTTTAATTTGTTTCATTTAGCTTACTACTGAGTACAATAATTTAATGTTATTTTATATTTCCTTGTTACACAATCAACTCTAAAGATGTGAAGACCTGTACAAATAGTCTAGACCTCTGACTTTGAAGAGAGGTCTTGAACTGTGCAATATGTCATCACAACTCATATTGCACTTTTCCAGGCCTACTTCACTGTCTATATCAGGTTGTCTTGTGTTCAGTGGACAGTGTCCTAGTTGACATTTGTTGCCTATAGGTTGGTGGTGGTGCAACTTTGTTTATCTTCCAAATTGCACTTCACCCGGCCTGTCGGAGACAAAAAAAATTCAGCCTCGATCTACAATTTCCAGAGTTTTCTTGTTTTAACCTTGGTAATCAAGAAGTATATTTTGTGGCCTTAGTACTGAAAACGTGTATCTTGAAATTCATTTTACTTAAAAAATACTCATACATTTTCTTTCATTTTCATAAACAGAATTAAAAATATTGAGAGTAATATGGAGACCGCAATGGAATTTGCTCCCGAGAGTTTTGGTCAAGTTCACATGTTATACATTGATTGTAAAGTGAATGGTTTTCCTGTCAAGGCATTTGTTGATTCGGGTAATCTAAGTTTCCATTTTAAGTATCAGATCGAGGGTGTTTAAACAAAAATGCTGTGGGTTCTATTGGTTGTAACTCATGTTTAACTTGTAGGTGCTCAAATGACAATTATGAGTCAGCAGTGTGCTGAGAGATGTCATATCATGAGGCTTGTGGATAGAAGATGGGAAGGTGTGGCTAAGGGTGTTGGCACTCAGAAAATTCTTGGCAGAGTTCATTTATGTATGTAATATTTTATTTTTTCACTAGTTTATACCAAATATTTTCATTGTGTTGGATGATATGAAATTAATTTTACCTTTTTCTTCAGCATTACTTTATCCTCAAATATTTGCTGCCAATTAGTACTGTTTTTATTTATATTAGGTCAAATTCAAATTGGCAGTGTGTTTCTCCAATCCTCATTTTCTATATTAGAAAATCAGCCCATGGATATGCTGCTAGGACTTGATATGCTTAAAAGACACCAGGTAAATTTATATGTCCACCTAAAGAGTTAAAGAATACTCCATCGTTGTTAAACTGTTCAAGTGCAGTATTTATGTGCTAGCTAGTAAATGCTGAATAGCTTACTCATATCATCTTCACACTTTGGGTGAATCATTGATATCCAAAAAGTTTCATTGATCAAAGTTTTGTTACATTGTTTTGTCACAATGTCTGGTTGTCTGTATGTGAAATGGTTTGCTGTCATATCTTGTGACTTAGTTTTGCCCTATTTATAATCCATCTACTTTTTCACACTTTGAAAATTCATTTATGTGACAATCCAAAAGCAACCTATAATCACCCACGATTTGTGATCGTTGCTAAAATTTCCAATTTTTTTCAGGGGTGCCACTTCTCTGGATTATCCCTTTCTGGGTTAGCAAAAATTTAGTTTAAAATGGCTGGGTTTGAAGTTAGAAAACAAAACAAGACTTTTTATTCTAGAAATCCTTAGGTTTACTCAGATATTTTTTTGTATGCCAGCTTTTCTTGCGTTGATGAATAAAATATTTAAAGACTAGTAGTCTAGGGGTGAACCTAAATACATGTTATTAAAAGACTAAGATCATAGGCAAGTACAGTCTTGTTTAATATTATCACCTATTTTAAGGTAAACCATTTTAGCAGACTATTTCAAGGTTTGCTAGTAGTGATACTGAATTAGGGAGAAAAAAAAAATATTTTTTTTTTGTATGCCAGCTTTTTTTTGCGTTCATGAAAAAATTATTTAAAGACTAGTGACAACACCGACTATGGGTCAACTACCATTATTTCATGGAGGAGTGAAGATAAAATTTGTATCAACGGGAGAAAATGGGGTTCTCTTGAACTCACTGTGACCCCAAGTAGGCCCATGTGTTGTTTTTTTTTTTTGGGGGGGGGGGGGGGGGGGGGGTTGATAAAGTGACATCATCAGTTATCTAATATAGCAGTTGTTCATGTCATGATTTATGCTTTAGGCCTGCACAATGACCTCTCCACAGTGTCTAGTTAGGGGTAGAGGGGATGCTATACTGACAATTTTTAATAGAAGTCTATTGTTTGGTTTTTTTTTTTTCAAAATATTGTTTGAAATTTTAAAAAGGCCCTAGAGTCTAATTTTAGTTATTCCTGTTGATTGCATTGTCTAACAAAATAAAATGTTAAAATTACTATTAGGCTTGTTTAAGATTTTTTAAATTACAGGTACCTCTAAGAATTGACATAATCATTTAATTGTAAACTGTGCAAATGATTGTTATAGTTTACATAAGTTTAATTTTTGTGAACTTTAAAAAAAAAAACCTTTTCTGTGTTATTTCATAGTAACAGAAACTTCTTTTATTTTAGATGTTAGCTAAATTAATAATTAGAACAATAATAGCCACAGGGGATTTTTCATACTTCTTGTCTTTAAGCAAAATATTTGCTGTTTACAGTTCTTGTCTTTAAGCAAAATATTTGCTGTTTACAGTTCTTGTCTTTAAGCAAAATATTTGCTGTTTACACTTCTTGTCTTTAAGCAAAATATTTGCTGTTTACAGTTTTTTGGATGCTGAATAACTACATACTTTTGGCTGACTACACACTTTATTGAACTCAATATAGGACATGCTAAAATTAAATACCTAGAACTGCAGTGTACATTTCTACAACTTTTTAGATTAGGTTTCAAAGTGTGACTAGTATCAGCTTAACCAATTATATTTATATCAATTCTATTAATATAAACAGTTTTTTATTGGTGGAGGTTCTAGAAAATTTAATATTACATTATGGGATCAAGATGAGTCTACGATTTTAAACAATCCTTTAAATATTAAATTATTAATTTTTGTTTAGAGATTGTTATGAAGTTAAAATCACTAAAGGAATGTATAATATAATATGAATCAAATTTCTCAAAAAGTATTTTAAAAATTTTACTTCAAAACATTTTTTGACAAGATATCAAGTTTGAAGGTTTAAAAATTTAAGTTTTGGTATTTAATTTAAGGTTTGATTCACTTTAAAAAATGAGTGGCACCCCTAAAAAATGTCTGCTTTTTTGTGGTTTGATTATATTTAATTTGGCAAGTTTATGTTCAATGGTTATGCGTGTTGAAAATTTATATGAAAAATGGCAGGGAATATATATTTGGAATCATCATCACCATTCCTTTGTGGCCCCTGGGGAACAAAGGGCTGCAACCACACATCTCCAGTGGATATATACTTGGAATAGCAGGAATATTCTGTTTAAAAAATTGTGGGAACCCTGTACATCTATATATATAACGAGCCGACCCGCTGCGTATCATACGCCGCTATTTAGTTGTTTTTTTTTTTTTTTCTACTTTTCAGTAATTTATAATTTGTGAATTCGACAGTACCAATGCTGCCACTGAAAATATTTGCTGATGGTGTTTAAAAGCAAAATATTTTCTGTTGTAGATTTGGTAGTGTCGAGCTCACAAATTATAAATGGCTGAAAAGTAGAAAATAAAACAACTATATAGCGGCTTATACTACACCGCGAGTCTGTTCGTTGATATTTTAATTCATTTATTGGTTTTAAGGTTGGCAAAATTCGGGATGTAAATTTTAGGATTCATTCAAAACAATAACTTCGGACCCCTTGATTTTATTAGTTGTCATGGACATGGTATTACAAGATAATCAGCCTGTTTGTTGATGGGAAAACAAGTCTTTTAACATTGATCTCAGCAATTCATTTGTTTATTGACATTGATCTCAGCGATTCATTTGTTTATTAACATTGATCTCAGCAATTCATTTGTTTATTAACATTGATCTCAGCAATTCATTTGTTTATTAACATTGATCTCAGCAATTCATTTGTTTATTAACAGTGTGTAATTGATCTCAGAAAAAACCAGCTTGAAATAGGAACAACACAGACTGTAACACCTTTTCTGGGGGAGGCAGACTTACCTGATCATGCTCGCCTAAACCAGCCTGCCTCAGCTACTCAGGAAGAGGACCGGGACCTGGCGGAAGCACTTTCTCGATCTGCCCAAGAAGGTTAGCACATTTTTTTACATCTTTCAGGGTTCCCACAGAGCCGGGAAATAACTAGTCTTGTGCTATTAGAGCAAACTATAATCACCCACAATTTGTGATCTTTTCTTCAATTTCCAATTTCTTTTTCAGGGGTGCCACTTTTCCGAATTATCTCACCGGGTTAGCAAAATGGATGGGTTTTAAGTTAGAAAACAAAACAAGACTTTTGGACATGATTCTAGAAATCAAATTTATTATTTAGACTCTGGAGCCTTTTTATCTTTGATTTATTTTCCGCCAATGCGAAAGCGTACTTGGTACATCTACTGCTGCTAGCTTAGGGTTACTCATTGATACAGTATGAAACTAAAGGGGTAATTAAATTAAAAAAAATTTAAAATGCACATTCCTTAAAATATAAACTTTTGTTAAATGGTTGTTATAAAGTTTAAGTCATTAAAGGAATGTATAATATAATATAGTATGAATCAAATGTCTCGAAAAGTAAGTAAATATTGTCAAATTTTATTTTAAAACATTTCTGACGTAACATCAAATTTTAGGGTTTAAAAACTAATGATTCAATCAGTGGCACCCCTTAAACATGTGCTTACTTTTTTTTTTTTTTAGTTTAATTTGCCAATGGTTATGCGCATTGAAATTTATATGAAAAATAGCAGTGAATTTCCAGGTAAAAAAATTGTGGGAACCCTAATCTTTTCATCAGCTGTCTATTTAATTGTAAACATGTTCTGCTGGTGTCAGTTTGTCATTACCTGGTGGTTTTTATTTTAGCCAGTCCATCAACAAGTAAACCTCCAGGCTCAGAAACTGCCCAGTCATCAGCTCCTCATCAGTTTTCTGAAGAAATTGTTTCTCGGCTTATGAAAAATGGTTTTAGTAGAAATGCTGTTTTGGAAGAATTAAGGCGCTGTAATGGCAATGCAGACCAAGCGCTTGCTGTATTATTTTCTAAATCGTTTAGTATGCCTTGATCATTTGGTGCCATCCAATCAGCCATTATTTATTTGCTGCAACTATGTTGTATACACTCACCTTTTAATTGTACATGAAGCTGATTTTCTGTAAGAAAACATTTGTGATAGATGTTAATTTGCAATGCTAAGTTCTTGTATTAATTGTATGAATTGATGCTACCCTTTTTCATGAACAAATTGCTAAGATCTCTCTTTAATTTTAACATGAGTTTTAAGAATTTTTTAATCTATGTTGTAACTTTTTAGCTATGTACACGGATCTGCATGTGTGTTGCTGTAGAGTTGAATTATCATTGAGCTAACTGCAAAAATAGGCAGGGGGAATGGGACTTTTTTATTTTCTTGCTTCTTTTTCAACAGAAGTAGCAGCACATGGTATTTTCTGGTAGCTAACTTAAAAGCTAACTGGATCTCCAGTTGTATGTAGGGATGGACTAAATGTGCATTTGCTTATTTTATGAGTGCAACTTACTTATTCAGTTTCTAGCTGTTAAAAAAAAAAAATTTCTGTTGACCATATTGTTGAAAAGAATGGTGAATGATTTAGATGAGGTCAATGCTGTCACATATCTGAGGGAAGTGCTTTATATGTGTGTGGTATTAGTGGTAGTGATGTTCTAGTTGAATGATTGGGATGTGGTAGTGATGTTCTAGTTGAATGATTGGGATGTGGTAGTGATGTTCTAGTTGAATGATTGGGATGTGGTAGTGATGTTCTAGTTGAATGATTGGGATGTGACAGCTGTGTTAATGTTGATGGTTGAGATGTGGTAGTGATGTAAAGTTGAATGGTTGAGATGTGGTAGTGATGTAAAGTTGAATGGTTGAGATGTGGTAGTGATGTAAAGTTGAATGGTTGAGATGTGGTAGTGATGTAAAGTTGAATGGTAGAGATGTGGTAGTGATGTAAAGTTGAATGGTTGAGATGTGGTAGTGATGTAAAGTTGAATGGTTGAGATGTGGTAGTGATGTAAAGTTGAATGGTAGAGATGTGGTAGTGATGTAAAGTTGAATGGTAGAGATGTAACGTTGAATGGTAGAGATGTGGTAGTGATGTAAAGTTGAATGGTTGAGATGTGGTAGTGATGTAAAGTTGAATGGTTGAGATGTGGTAGTGATGTAAAGTTGAATGGTTGAGATGTGGTAGTGATGTAAAGTTGAATGGTTGAGATGTGGTAGTGATGTAAAGTTGAATGGTAGAGATGTGGTAGTGATGTAAAGTTGAATGGTTGAGATGTGGTAGTGATGTAAAGTTGAATGGTAGAGATGTAACGTTGAATGGTAGAGATGTGGTAGTGATGTAAAGTTGAATGGTTGAGATGTGGTAGTGATGTAAAGTTGAATGGTAGAGATGTGGTAGTGATGTAAAGTTGAATGGTTGAGATGTGGTAGTGATGTAAAGTTGAATGGTTGAGATGTGGTAGTGATGTAAAGTTGAATGGTAGAGATGTGGTAGTGATGTAAAGTTGAATGGTAGAGATGTAACGTTGAATGGTAGAGATGTGGTAGTGATGTAAAGTTGAATGGTAGAGATGTGGTAGTGATGTAAAGTTGAATGGTAGAGATGTGGTAGTGATGTAAAGTTGAATGGTAGAGATGTGGTAGTGATGTAAAGTTGAATGGTAGAGATGTGGTAGTGATGTAAAGTTGAATGGTTGAGATGTGGTAGTGATGTAAAGTTGAATGGTAGTGATGTAAAGTTGAATGGTTGAGATGTGGTAGTGATGTAAAGTTGAATGGTTGAGATGTGGTAGTGATGTAAAGTTGAATGGTAGAGATGTGGTAGTGATGTAAAGTTGAATGGTTGAGATGTGGTAGTGATGTAAAGTTGAATGGTAGAGATGTGGTAGTGATGTAAAGTTGAATGGTAGAGATGTGGTAGTGATGTAAAGTTGAATGGTAGAGATGTGGTAGTGATGTAAAGTTGAATGGTAGAGATGTAAAGTTGAATGGTTGAGATGTAAAGTTGAATGGTAGAGATGTGGTAGTGATGTAAAGTTGAATGGTAGAGATGTGGTAGTGATGTAAAGTTGAATGGTAGAGATGTAAAGTTGAATGGTAGAGATGTGGTAGTGATGTAAAGTTGAATGGTAGAGATGTAAAGTTGAATGGTTGAGATGTGGTAGTGATGTAAAGTTGAATGGTAGAGATGTGGTAGTGATGTAAAGTTGAATGGTAGAGATGTGGTAGTGATGTAAAGTTGAATGGTAGAGATGTGGTAGTGATGTAAAGTTGAATGGTAGAGATGTGGTAGTGATGTAAAGTTGAATGGTAGTGATGTAAAGTTGAATGGTAGAGATGTGGTAGTGATGTAAAGTTGAATGGTAGAGATGTGGTAGTGATTTAAAGTTGAATGATTGAGATGAGGTCAATTCTATCACATATCTGAGGGAAGTGCTTTAATTATGTGTGACATTGATTTCTAAAGCGTGCCCAACCATGTAACTATTTCAACAAGATGGTAATAAAGATTTTCTGTTGCCTTATCCAGTGTTCTAAGGATAATCTTTGTCTGCCCATTGAGTTGGCAGGTGGCTGACCACACTTGGTTGTTGTTGTGTTGATTGGTGGCTTATAACTGCCTGCATATTTGTAAAGTTTCATATAAAATAGAAGAAAATACTTTTGTAAACCTTTGAACTGTTTTAATTATTTATTTATTTTAGTTGAATTGTACCAGATACATAGAATTAGAAACACAGGAATCTTGTATACACAGGTTTAATCAAAACAAAGAACATGTAAATATCAGGTGAAATCTCTGAAGTAAACCACTAATGACATCAGGCTGACAGTTGGAATCAATGATTCTTGAAGTAAACCACTAATGACATCAGTGATATCAGGCAGACATTGACTGCTATAACAGATGAGCCCTGTGACAGAGAAGAGCATTAGTTGTGACTGATGTTTTGTGTTTGTAAAAAAAGAGGGGTCGTCCAGAATGACTGGGATCTCTCACACGTGCAGCTATGTGTACACCCCAAGAGCAATGTATCTTAGATTGTGTCACTATAATAAAAATAAAACTGAAGTGAGAAACAGGATATACCACTACAACTTTCGATCATAGGAAATTAATCAAAAGGGTTAATCTCGTCTATATACGAAGGAATTTTCAGACTAGATTGCAAACATGATGTTTTTCCTACTCAGGAAGGTGGGAAATCTTCGAGACTTCCCGTTCGAAAATATGCTCCAGCTTAAAGAAGGCGTGTCCCAGTCATCCACCCACCCCTTTTCCATTGAAGTAAACAAATATCAACCTACCGAGTATCCAGGTCCAGGTGGGCCGTGGTGGCCACCGCCATGTCCGCCTTCTTCACCGTGACCACCCCCATGGGCGTCGCCGTGACCTCCATGTGCGTCACCGTGACTGTCGCCATGTCCTTCTGCAACTTGTCCCCCCTACACGTTAACATAATGCTTTAGATAGTGCATCATCAAATCAATCCCGTCAAAAGGGCCCCGACATATTGGCTTCCGTCAAATGGAATCGTATGACCACTATTGGCAAACAAATAACCATTTGAGCATATTTTTTTTTCATGAACCAACAGTAATTCAGAAACAAATCGAGCCCCAATAACAGCTACATTCAATCAATTTTAAAATTATGATGTGTAATTTACAACAGTAAAGACCTGAGGCCTAAAAGCAAGCACAGAAGTTTACAGGAAAATTGCCTTTTGTTTTGATAACCTACAACTTTTACAAGCATCCTGCAGGTATGGAGACTTTTAAAAAAAGGCATAATGGGGAGCCTATTTGTCGGGAGTCAAATTGTCGGAAACCTAAATGACGGGTCGATTTCTCGGGGCCGCTTTGACGCCGCACGCTTTAGATTGGCTTAGGGGGATATGCTAGGTAAAAGTAAAAACACCAAATTCCTGGTTTTTAGTCTTAATGGGTTTCTTGTTGTTTTGGATAATTTTGTACTAAGAAAATAACTTTAATGAGAGAAAAATTATGTGTTTAAACTAATTTTACTACCCTATTAATTTAAAAAAGAATCAATTTTTCCCAATCTTACAAACTCTACGAAAAGTTTTATACTTAATACCCGTCAAATTGTACTTGGCATCATTGAAAAGCTGGATTTCTCATGTATCTTAATTTCCATCATCTCGGAAACACCCAAAACTTACTGTTGGCATTACAATTTACACAGATAACTGAGATATGGTATTTTCGTGACCTACTTTTCGTTAGCTTTGCTGTTTTTCTCAGATGGCAGTTTTAATTTTAACACTCAAAAAAGTTTGTTGTAAATAGTATGCAAATTTTGCTACTTCTGAATACTAAAACTAAAAAGGGTACGATTTTTTAGACCTTGTAAAATTCTTACAAGTAACTATTTCAAAAAGTTGTGATATATATATACTGAACTGAAGCAGTTTAAATTTGATTGCTATGTAAGTGCACAAATAAAAAGGCCATAGCATTATTAAAAGTACCGAAAAATTCAAAATGACGGGTTTTTTTCGGGTTTCCATGGCAACCAAAATTGTTTTCTACCTTTTTTAGCGCAATTTCCATACTAAGAATCTAGATCTACTTGCATGTGTCAAACATGGTACAAGTATTCAAAAGGCTTTGATATTAAATTGTAAAAAAAAAATTAGCATATTCACTTAAAGAGTGGATGTAAACATGCTTTTTGGTACTTGAACCCTCCTTATTCCTAAACAAACTGCTTTAAATTCACTTCTATATCGTTATCTTCTTTTTCGTTCTTAGTGTTGGAAGGGATCCCCTCCAGCACAATTAAGTATACACGTCAACTGGTTATGTGATTCTGAATTCATTCTGCTTTTCTTTTTGGATTTGGTTCCATGGCCTTTGTCCAACCAAGAACAAACTATCAGAGTTTCTTCCAGGCATCTCTTCGGGGGGGGGGGGGATTTGCCCCCCGAAATTTTTTTACCGCCCCCCCCCCCCCCCCCCAACGAAATTAAATTTATATAGAAAATATATACTTTTAACAGTGCCCCCCCCCCCCCCCCCCCCCCCCCCCCCCGTGTACTGAATCCTGTGTTGAAGATAGTGAATTTAATAAGGTCACATGGGCTTAACCATAGATAGTTCAGATACATGTTGAAAGATACAAAAAACAGAACTTGACGCACTTTCAGCAGTGCAAGAACTGAAGCAACAGCTGAGTTACGCTCGTCATTTCCATGCGAGATCACCAAAGACCTCCAGCTGCAGTTTCAGCAGCGGTTTTCTGATTTGGATTCAAAGACAAAAGAAGTAAGACTGTTTCAAAACCCATTTGAAGCAAATGTTACCAGTTGCCCAGATGAGCTGCAGCTGGAGGTCATTGATGAACTGCAAGCAACGGACCTCCTTAGAGACAAGTTCAATGAAGGGCGGGTGGGTTATTATAAGTTGTTGCCTAAGGAAGACTTTCCTAAGCAATATACAAACTTTGGCATCAAAATACCTTTCAAATTTTGGAACAAGATACATGTGTGAACTAACACTTTCAAGAATGAAATACGTGAAGAACAATTTGAGAACAAACTTGGACCTCGAATGTGTTGTCGGCCCCCGACAAAGTTTCTTTCAGAATTTTTTCTCATTGGGGGGGGGGGGGGGGGGGGGGGCACTTGAAATTTTTATATATCTCTATATAAATTATATTTCGTTGGGGGGGGGGGGAGCCTGGAAGAAGTTGGCCCCCGCACTGATATTTGATAGTTAATGCGGCCCTCGGGCTGAAACGTTTGGAGACACCTGAGTCTAACTTATTCAACCAACGCATTCACCTAACTAATTCAACTAACGCATTCATCTAACTACTGGGTGTAGAGAAATTCTGTATGCAGGCTTTTACTGGAGTTGCGAGTTAGCCATTGAATGAAAGAAGGTGATAGCTAGACTGGTTCACTTTTTTCTGTCGTCTGCTGTTTACTTACATGTCCACTAGTGTCATGTCCACCTGAAACAATCAAATCATTCTGTTAGACTAGAGGCATTGTCACCCTTTTGGGTGCCCGTGGCAAACAATTTTGCGTCCCCCTCCTTCCCGTTTATATATATATATATATATATATATATATATATATACAAGTCAGTATCCCATAGTTTTTTTTACTTTCTCGTATATACGAAGTATAGAGAAAGTCTTGTAATCGTGCAAAAAAAAAATCGAGATTTTTACAAATCTCGACGTTTTATTCCTCACTGATACGGAAAAACATAATTTTGCAATCCTGTCTGTCTGTCTGTGTGTGTCCGTGTGTAAACACGATAACTTGAGTACCGTTACAGCTAGGTTGATGAAATTTCATATATAAGTATTTTATCAAAATCGTAGATCCATATCAACTTTTGAGCGATTTCTGATAACCGGAAGTGGTACTTTTCCTACTTTGAATTTTTCAAAAGCCTATAACTTGAGTACTATTTCAGATAGATAAATGAAATTTCACATGTAAGTAAAAGATCTAATTCTCTACCTTCTGTTAAATTTTGAGTAATTTCCGTTGACCGGAAGTAGTAATTTACGCTACTTCCGATTTCTCAAAAAACTAATGTAAATTTTTAAAGTACTAATAATATTGCGCACTATTATGCACTTTTTTATTTGGCGTTCACTTGGTGTGCAATTAATTTGTCTACGAGATTTTATTCTATTTTTAAAACTTTAAGTATTTAAAATGGATTAAAAATCGTGTCTATAGCCCGAGTTCCCATTCCCTGTTATTTTATATAAGAATATTCGAGAAAGTTTAGGGCAGATCACTCCCGGTTTATTTTATTTTGGTATCACACAATTTATGTAAAAAAAAAAACACAATTAAATCAGAGTTTAAAGCCATTTACTGAGGTAACTTTGAATGTGCATAATTTAATACCCCAGCGCCCCTTTAGGGTTGGTGCCCGGGGCGGTCGCCCCAGAGGCGTAGCGACCATACCCGGCGCCCGGGGACAAACTTTCGATTTGCACCCCCCCTCAAACTTTCTATTTGCAACCCCCCCCCCTCGAAATTTTCATTTACACACCCCCTCAAACTTTCAATTTGGCGCCCCTCGAGGTCGGCGCCCGGGGACATATGCCCCCCCCCCCCCTTCGCTACGCCTCTGGGTCGCACACCCGGACTCCCCTAGCTACGCCACTGGACTTGACATGTGGTCAAATCTAAATAGTTTACGGAGGGCTGTGCGAAGATGAAGTTGTGGCACTTACCGGAAGCTAAGCACAACACAACAAGCTGGGACAACAGCATCAAGACAAGTAGCTTGGCCATGTTCGCACTCTAGCTCTGCCACTGGACTAGGTTGGGTAGACAGAAGCAAATTATTAACGTAGTTTAAATAAAGACCTAAAACAAGACTTTCAGGATCTACAATTCATAACTGTCAGGACCGACAATCCAGAATTGTAGATTTTTACTTTCTCATGTACAAAGTATAGAGAAAGTATTGCAATCGTGCAACAACAAAAAAATAAATAAATCGAGATTTGTGCAAATCTCGATGTTTACACCTCCTTGAGTCGGAAAAACATAGTTTTGCAATCTTGTCCGTATGTCTCTCTGTGTGTATGTGTGTGGTGAGTATCTGTAAACGCAATAACTTGAGTACCGTTACAGCTAAGTAGATAAAATTTGTAGATACATATACACTTTTCTGCGATTTCCGATTACCGGAAGTGGAACAATTTTCTTCTTTCAATCTTTCAAAAGCCTATAACTTGAGTACTTTTTCAGATAGTTAAATGAAATTTCACATACAAGTAAAAGATCTAATTCTCTGCCTTCTTTCAAATTTTGAGTAACTTCCGTTGACCGGAAGTAGTAATTTAGGCTATTTCCGATTTCTCAAAAAAACGCATGTGAATTTATAAAGTCCTAATAATATTCCGCACTATTATACACATTTTATTTGGCGTTCACTTGGTGTGCAATTCTTTTTTCTAAGAGATTCTATTCTATTTTTTAAAGTTAAAGTAATTAAAAATGGATTAAAAATATTGTTTCTATCCCATGTTGCCATCCCCCGTAGTGTTATATAAGATCATTCGAGAAAGTTTAGGAGAGATCATTCACGATTTTATTTAAAATTCAAATTAATTTTAAGCGCTAATAAAAATGTATGCAAATCAGGTCACCAAAGTGGCATCTAAATTATGCTTTTTTAAATAGTTTTTTTGTGTTGTTTTTTAACCGTACTCTTAACCAATTGATCATTCTTAGACTTCATTTTTTAACAAACTTTACTACTATCGATAATTACCTATTTTTGTTGCATTCAATACTTCTTTCTTTGAATTGTATAATTGCAACATTTGCATTTTATTTCATATGTTATTATTTGAGCAAATTACTTAGCTGTTTTACTTAAAGAGAAAAATCAAGCCGAAAATTTACAAATAAAAATTCAATCTTACCTAACCACACACTTACCTGGCAACTTGGACAGCGCGAGCTCTACTGGAGTTGTGCCTATAAGGAACTTGAAACATTTATATGCACGCTTGAAAAAAAAAAATTGCTGCAAGAAATCCGCCACCATCCCCGTCTAGTTATTGTGCTGTCCTCATTTTTCACCCTGGCCACACTGTGTCATTTGGCTTAAGGCAGCTGTTCTTTAAATAGATTGTTTCGTCAAGGACATCTCGACATTTTCAGACTACTTTGCCCTGAACTCTCAAACGAACTATCTCAAACTCCCACAACCATAGACCGTTATTTTTACTTTCTCGTATACATAGTAGTATAGAGAAAGTATTGTAATCGTGCACAACAATCACATGACATTTTGACAGTTTCCACCGTTTTACTTCTCAATACTTCATCATAAACGGAGTATAGGGGACTTATAATGGGGCAAAAATTCTAAATCCAGATTTATTAAAATTTCGTCGTTTTATGCGTAATCGGGTCGGAAAAACTGGACTTGACAATTATGTCCGTGTGTGTGGATGTGTGTCTGTAAACACGATAATTTGAGTACCGTTACAGCTAGGTTGATGTGCTTTCATATATAAGTATCAACTTTGTAGATCCTTATCAACTTATCAGCGATTTCCGATAACCGGAAGTGGAACTTTTTCTACTTTGAATTTTCAAAAGCCTATAACTTGAGTACTTTTTCAGATAGATAAAGGAAATTTCACTTATAAGTAAAAGATTTAATTCTCTGCCTTCTATCAAATTTTGAGTAATTTCCGTTGACCGGAAGTAGTAATTTACGCTATTTCCGATTCCTCAAAAACGCATGCGAATTTATAAAGTACTAAGAATATACCGCACTATTATGCACATTTTATTTGGCGTTCACTTGATGTGCAATTCTTTTTTCTACGAGATTCTAATCTATTTTAAAAAGTTTAAGTAATTAAAAATTGTTTGAAATATTGTCTATATCCCGAGTTGCCATCCCCCGTAGTGTTATATAAGAATATTCGAGAAAGTTTAGGGGAGATCACTCCCGGTTTATTTTTAAAATGTTTTACACACAAAAAGCGGCATTAAACCAGCTTGACTCTCAAAATGAACGTGTGCACATTAAGAGTTGTTAGTAACAATGTAGGTTCTATGACAAGCCTCCTACCATGCAGTCTATGCTTAGTTTTATAGTTTTTTAACCTGCTTCCAGTATTCGATGCCTTTACTGACGTTGAGGCACTAGATGAATTTTTATTAATTTTTAATGCCATCTTTCCTGGTCCTGCTTTTTGATCATTCTGAAAAGGACGGCCTGACCCTTGACGTCCTCCAACAGCACCGAGTGGCCAAAGCTCGCATCCATACAGATACATTTGACTGCTGTCTTAAGAGAAGGCTTTCTGTCACGTCAGAAGCCATTCCTGCAAGCACTTCTTGTTTAGTTCGCTCAGCGAACCATCCAAATGAAAGCTGTACAACGTTTTTCTTCAATGTCACCTATGATAAAAGTGTCGAAGTCAACTGGTGGAATGGTTGTCCAAGCGTCTGTCTTGGTATGTATGGGGGGGGGGGGGGGGGGGAGGTCCAGTGAGAGCAGTCGTTACTACACAGGAAGACAAGCTTAGAGTCTAGAAACAACGCGTTACTTCCGGGCTTGGCCTAGTTTTACCAAGTCTTGGGTGACAGCAGCCGAGACAAGGCTCATTCATTACAGAGCCGGGGCTGAATGCAAGGGACCTAATTATGCACTTCTGGGTCAAGAGAGCTCTATTATTACTATTAAAGGGAGGCTATCTTTAAAAGACTTAAGTCGCAATATCTCGCTTAAAATATGACCCCTGTCGTAATAAGGCTGTTTCAATTTTTGTGACCACTTTGCATAGTCAAATTAATAATTAAAGAGGTAAGAAATAGCAGAGTTTCTTCCAGGCATCTCTTCGGGGGGGGCGAAGCCCCCCTGAAAATTTTTTACCGCCCTCCCAAACGAAATGAAATTTATATAATTTATATAGAAAATATATACTTTTATTAACAGTGTCCGCCCCCCCCCCCCCGAAGAAAGTTTACCGCCCCCCCCCCCCCCCCCCGAAAATTTCAAGTGCCCCCCCGGAGAATAAAGTCTGGAAGAAACACTGAGAAATAGGAGTGGGGTCAGTATAGCAACTTATCAGTGGTGTAGCTACCATAAAGCTAGCGTAAGCAATGAATAGGGGCCCAAGGAAAATAGGGGCCCCTTTTCCTTCATTTAGAAAATTAAAACTTTTTCATTGGAATTTTAACATTGCTTTATATAAATAATTATTTTGAAATGGAAATCCAGTTACTTATCTGCTATAGAAATAAAAAGTTTTTTTTTTAAAAAGCCCCCCCCCCCCCACCCAGTCATTTCTTGCTGTACAGGCAGTGACATTCAGTGTGTGGGGGGGGGGGGGCGAACAGGGCCAATCCGTAGTAATAACACGACAGCCGTATTGTCGTGCAAGACATCGAGAGAATTAGCCTATAAATAAACTTGAACTTTGACTCTTTTGTGAGGTTGGCATCCGGCACCCGTAAATGTACGGCGTCAATTCGGCCAATGACAAAACGGCCCCGTCAAAACGACCCCGTCAAAACGGCCCCGTCAAAACGACCCCGTCAAATCGGCCCCGTCAAAAGGGCCAGCGACATATGGACCCCGTCATATAGGCTCCCGACAAATAGGCTCCCGTCATTTAGGCTACCGACAAATAGGCTCCCGTTATATAGGCTCCCGACAAAAGGGCTCCAGTCAATAAGGCTCCCGACAAATAGGCTCCCGTCATTTTGGCTCCCGACATATAGGCTCCCGTCATTTAGTTTTTTCCACAAAACGGCCCCCGTCATTACGACTCCCGACAAATAGGCTCCCGTCATTTTGGCTCACGACAAAAAGGCTCCTATCAATTTGGCTCCAGACAAAAGGACCACTGACAATACTGTTTCTGTAGAGACTAAGTCGCCCGGCAAAGTGGTCTCATTGAATATGACACCTGCCAGTGGGACCCCTTCATCAACATTCTTTAGAGTTAGCTTATCCAACACTCTTATGTAATACATCCAGGGGCGGAACTACAGTGCCGCCAGACCCCGCAATGCGGGGGGGGGGGGGGGGCAAGCCCTTTAGGGGCCCACAGCAGACCATAATTTAAAAAAATATATTTAAAAAATATAATTTTCTTGCATTTTTAACTTGGTGGTTGTTATGTAAAAAGATTACTATAGCTGCGATTGGATTATCTTTTTTCTAAAGACACCACCCCGCGCTCTTGTATTTTTTTTCCCTTTGTTTTTAAACCATTATGAATGCCGAGTCCTCTTTTTCCTACAATCAAACTTATCAAAGATAAATAAACGTTCAAACCACTTCCACCACTTATTTCCCTTTTTAAAATAGTCAAATAGGGGTGCCCATAAGCTCCTTTAAATAGATTTGCACTAAACAAATTAAAAAGTAATTACTTCTCTTAATAATTATTTTTAAAAAGTTCTTACTAAAGAATGACATTGTACAAAAAGGAAATGCATTTAAAATTAATAATATAAATACAAAAAAAAATAAACATAAAAATAAAACGAGACACCATAACTTATACAAAGCTTTCATGTTTTATATACTTTTGACCGACTAGAGACAAAGAAATCTGATAGCAGAGATAAAATAAACTAGATATTCAAAACAGACTATTGCACTTCTTTCTGGATTTAATCCTCTGGTGTTACAAAAAAAATGTATATATTCTTAGAGGAAATATCTTGTAATAACTTTATTTATTCTATCAATTGAATCATCAAATTGTCATAAAAATAAAAAAAACAAAAAAATAAATAAAAATAAATAAAAAAAAAACAGACTATTGCACTTACACACATGACATGTTGTAATTTGCCCTAAATTGAAAAAAAAAACAATTATTTTTTCAAAACCCAAACAGGCCAGCAATGAGAATCCTATGTTCTTATTGTGTGTTTGTATATATATATATATATATATATATATATATATATATATATACATATAAACACATATATATATATACACATACAGATATAGATATAAAGATATAGATAAAAATATTTTTGCGGGGTGGCCCATTTTTTCTAGTTCCGCCACTGAATACAACGTATGCATCTCTTGTTCGGCAGGCCTTATTTTTATATTAGTTTATCTATTATAAAATATAGTATGTTTTAATTTAAGGGTCATCTATCTATGACATCCATAATTGAGTCGATAGGCTGTTCCAACTCAGTGTGTGGGGAGAAGGGTCCACGCTATACCTTCCTACCTGCAGTATGCTTGTAGGTTATCAAAACAAGATATCATGTAAACATCATGTATATCATACATTTACACTTCTGTGCTCGCTTTTAAGCAACAGATCTTTTCTGTTGTAAATTAAACATTATCAAAACTTTAGAATTGGTGGAATTAAGCTGTTAAGGGCTCGATTGTTTGTGAATTAATGTTGGTTCATGAAAAACAATTTCGTTCGGGCATTCAAAAGAATTTATAGTGGTATTGGAGGTAGGACAAAATGGTTACTTTTATGCCAATAATGGTCATTCATTGGTCTGGAGCCAATATGTCGGGAGTCATTTTGTCAAAAGCCAATATGTCGGGAGCCCAATTGCCTGGAGCCAATATGTCGGGAGCCCATTTGTCTTGCGTCCTTATGTCGGGAGCCAATATGTCGGGAGCCAATATGTCCTGAGCCTATTTGTCAGGGGTTAATATGTCGGGAGCCTAAATGTCGGGAGCCCATTTGTCGGGAGCCTATATGTCGCAAGTCAATATGACGGGAGCCCATTTGACGGGAGCCAATAAGTCGGGGCTATTTAGACGGGGTCGGTTTGTCGATTTGACGGGGTCATATTAACGGGGCCGTTTTGTACCAGGTCGTTTTGACAGGGCACCAATGTACAAGCATCTCTACAAACCTAAACTACCCGGGGACTTCCCCACCCCACAGACCTGCATCTCCCAACTGTCTGCCCCCTATGATATTCCATCCTATTAAACATCCATGATAACAATTAGTTTTTCTACTGATTTTTACCTTAACATTTCATTTGTTGATCTAATTAATCAATGTGGGCTACTAACACTGTCCGTTTTTGGTTTTCATCCAATTGCAAGAAACTTTGGGAAGTTATTGAGAATACTACAGGCAGTGATTTAGACATTTTTCTGAAAAGGTGACTGGAAAAAAAACAGTCTTTCACCAGGGAAGGCTACATTTCACCAGATGCTGTCAAATGGTAAATAGGAAACAGATACTGTCAAATGGTGAATAGGAGACAGATACTGTCAAATGGTGAATAGGAAACAGATACTGTCAAATGGTGAATAGGAAACAGATACTGTCAAATGGTGAATAGGAAACAGATACTGTTGAATAAGTGTGTTCCCTTTTTGAAAGTGACAGCCCATGATGCAAGTGAAGTAGAGTTCATCTGTTTCTGAGATCTCAGCCCTATGCTTAACCACCTTTAATTTCCCTAAAGTGAGTCAGGTACCCATCAGAGCTTGATGGACTAATGTACTGACTTGAACCTGGATTTGAACTCAAAACTTTTAGGTTAGCAGTATAGTGCTTTACTGCTTGGCCACACCATCCCATAATGGTAAGGAACATGTCAAATATTAGACAGAATGAAACTATGCAAGTCACTTTTAAAAAATAAAAACAAGTTTCAATTTCAACTTTAACTTTTAATGTTGAATCAAAATAAAAGACAATAACTTAGAAAATAAGAGCTAACTTTTGGTACACTTCTAAATCCTACACTACTAAAAGGACACGCACTGAAGGTGCAGTCTTCAATCATCAAACCACGATGGTAGTAACATCAACAATACACTTTTCTTTAGCTGATATACAAACATATTTACAGTAGAGATTTTCATTTTTCAAGTTGAGCATTCTATTTCAGATCAATTTTTACCTTTCTCATTTGTATATTTAGATAATAGAATGGACATGTGTAATTTGTAATCTCAGGCAACAAAAAAAAGCAGGTTATCTCCCTTTGTTAGATTATATTACCTTTTTAGATTACATGTAATATGCAATCTAGACCTAAACCTCATCTTTTAAAACTTGATTAGGATAATTTATTTGTTAATATGTTAATGTGCTGCTTTCTGTTTGTTGTAGCTCATCATCATCTTCTTGATTTCTCCAATGGCTCGGCCAGGATTAAGTCCCTTTAAAAAAACATTTAATTAAACAATGTATATAGCAGACCTGAGGGGAAGTCGATACAGTTCATGATAGTGTATAATTTGCTATGTCTAATGACCAGATTAACGTAGTTTTTGCTGCCCTAATGTAGAAGCTTTACACTTCATATTTTCAATAATAAAAAGAACTCAAATTACTGAGTAATTTTTATAGTTGTTGACATTATACAATATATCTTATTTATAGATTGAAAACTCACTGAGATGATTTTTCAATGGCATATTTTAAAAGCTTAAAAAAAACTCAGCAATCAGCAATTTAACATGTGATTTTTATACTGTATAAAATTAGTATTAGTATTTTCAGAATTGTCGTCCGTTTTTTCTGTTAAAAGACGGAAAATTAACCACTACAAAACAAACTATCACTAAAATCACTCTAGGCCCAGTAGCAGAAAGTGTCCATTTTTGGAGTTTAAAGCTACATTTCTATTTATTTTCATCAAGCCAAAGTTATAACCCAATGTTTCACTTTGGTAAGACAAACAATGATTGGCTGTACAGGAACTCTGTGATCAATTTTCATATCAGTTATTTGTTTACAAAACTTTGACGATATAGTTTTTAAATAACATTATGCTATCTTAAACCACATGACCTAGTTTCTGTCAATTTTGAATAACCTCGAGGCTATTCTCTGTCTATTATCATTTTATTATTATAATTTTATTTATATAATCTTTTTAGAATAGCTAAATATTTTATTTGCTAAATGTAAAAAAAAAACGTGATTATAATTTTCATCATCAGTTTTATCAATATATAGGAATGATTTTAAAACAAAATAGACATGGTGTGTAGCTTGAAATAATTTATACTATTATAAAATTTTATGTGTTATTGTGCATTTGAGCTCTATATCTTTTGTGAATAATTTCAACTTTAACAAGGCTAAATGTTATATGGAATAGAAAGGGGGGGGGGGGGGGGGGGGGAAGAAAGAACCCGAGCTGGGTATTGCTGCTGTTGCATCCTTTTAAGTCCTCACATTGACTATAATAAGGTAGTTTTTGCTTACATACTTTTACAAGGTATACATATGTAAACAAGCTACTGGTACTTGAGACTAATAGTTCCTTTGACACATTTTTTTCTCTATACATGGCCCTTGCACTCCCCCAGCAACAACTGGATCACATAAGTAACTCTTCACAGCTATGGTTATTCTGTATTTCCATAGTCTGTACTGTGTCATTTATTTTTTTAAAAGACGCACTTTTGACAGATTGTGACTCCCTGCACTATTCTGATTGAACGTGTTTCAAATGTTCATGTTATAGGCATACAAAGTTCAAAGTACCATTGTTCCCCTACATTTGCATTATAACTATCATGTATGCGGTTTTATCAGAAAGTTTTTGGTGATTTTTTAAAATGTGCACAATGTGTTTTTTTTTACTTCACTTTTTAAGTTAATCAATAAGTTAGAAAATGCAACTAATTTAAACGATGTCCTTATTTTTAAGGTTTGAAAATAAAACAGGTTGTTCTCTGTGTATGTGTTAGTGTTAAGTTCAAAGATTGAGTTTGTGACATATACTTTTACAGATGTAACTTCAATTTTAGGTTGTCAAAAAAAAAGTTAAAAACCAAAAATGTTATGCCATAACTTTAAAAGTAATTAAGATATATGAACGATTTTTGATATCCACTATCTTAGAATCTTGAGTTCTTAACATAGCAGATTTTTAAAATGCTCGGGAGCATTTTAAAAAATCAGTTTCACATGCGGAGTAAACTAACCTTAGGGCAATTTTTGGTACAGCTCATGATAGTGTATAACTAACCGTAGGGCATGTCTTGGTACAGTTCATGATAGTGTATAACTAACCTTAGGGCATGTCTTGGTACAGCTCATGATAGTGTATAACTAACCTTAGGGCAATTTTTGGTACAGTCCATGATAGTGTATAACTAACCGTAGGGCATGTCTTGGTACAGTTCATGATAGTGTATAACTAACCTTAGGGCATGTCTTGGTACAGTTCATGATAGTGTATAACTAACCTTAGGGCATGTCTTGGTACAGTTCATGATAGTGTATAACTAACCTTAGGGCATGTCTTGGTACAGTTCATGATAGTGTATAACTAACCTTAGGGCATGTCTTGGTACAGCTCATGATAGTGTATAACTAACCGTAGGGTAATTTTTGGTACAGTTCATGATAGTGTATAACTAACCTTAGGGCATGTCTTGGTACAGTTCATGATAGTGTGGCATCTGTACACGGAGTAGCCATCCTCCAATAGCGCCAAACGCTCTTCAGTAAAGTCATCACGAGAGTCAATCATCCATCTAAATCAATGAAACGTTAACTTTTTAAATTAAAACTTATCAACATCTCACCATTGACTCAAAAGTACCAGGATGTAACTGCTAATATCTCTTAGGTTTCTATCAGATGGACACAAACAGTGCACCTCAGCACTGCACCCACTAAGTGCAAGAAGCAATCAGGTTGTATTCATATCAGCTAAGATCAGATATATTTTCTTTTAGATTATGTTGTTTAAAAGCTATTAGAGTATAGCTTTGTAGGATTCTACTTTTAAAAAATATCGTACCGTTACTTAATCATTACCCGACAGATTCACCATGTATGCTGTACAATACACTCACACTGTTCAACCCACCCTTAGTCACACACACTGACTCACAGCTATCTACTTTATCAAATAACTCCTTAAGTTCAGTATTCTGATGCTTTCTTGCTTTGTGATGCTTTTTCTGTGTGACTGAATATGCAGGTGTTTCTTGCTGTTTTTATCTGTGTGATTGTACGTGCAGGTTATCAATGCTAACAACTGGAGCATGGTTATCAATGCTAACAACTGGAGCATGGTTATCAATGCTAACAACTGGAGCATGGTTATCAATGCTAACAACTGGGGCATGGTTATCAATGCTAACAACTGGAGCATGGTTATCAATGCTAACAACTGGAGCATGGTTATCAATGCTAACAACTGGAGCATGGTTATCAATGCTAACAACTGGAGCATGGTTATCAATGCTAACAACTGGAGCATGGTTATCAATGCGAACAACTGGAGCATGGATGTCAGAGATGTAACCACCCGCCAGAAAAAAAAGAGGAAATCTTTTTACAAGCGGAGGTGGGGTGTAATTAATTTTGTAATTTTAAATCAACTAAAAATAGGACAGATGAGTCTAAAATTTCGGGATGGAAAGAAAGTAATATTATGTATATTGCAAAATTGCCATTGAAAATAGTAAACCAGAAAAAGGATGCTGAAACTATCCAACTTCCTGTTTAGCTAAAAATTAGTATTTATTGTAGGCCAAATTTTTATAAAACAAAGTCAATTTTCTATGCGTATTTTTTTAGCAGGTGGCAGCGGGCGTTATGGGTCATTAATGTTTAAACTAAACTTTCTAAATTCTAGACCTCTATGAACTCTGGTATTGGCACGTTCTGATCTCATAAAATAGCCTTCAAATAAATGATTTTATTTATATTTGGTCAAAAGAAAAAATGGTTAGACGAAAAAGATTTCCAGTTCTGTTGGAAGAAAAATATTGAATTTTTTCCAGCAGAAAATTTTCCTCAAACAGAAGGTGGATTTCTAAAAAAAGTGGATAGAACTACATCTGGTAAGAATGATTTACCTGTATGCTTGCATGAGTACAGCTGGTCCAAGATATTTATCAGAATTCCACCAGTAGCTGGGACAGGAAGTGCTGCAGCATGCGCACAAGATGCACTCATATAACCCATCCTGGCAATAGAGAAGTTGTACACAACTTACAAGCCTTAATGTCAGGAACAAATGCACTCAGTTGGATCTAATTCAACCAGTATTAAGCTACATTTATGCTAATGTCAAGAACAAACATACAAGTTTGGCTCTGTCTTCCACAGACTGAAGGTAGGAAACTTTGCCAATATCTTCATCTTTTAAATCTTTCTTCTTCAAGTATGGTTCAATGGAGCGGTACTGGGCATAGAAGTTGCTCATGTCCTGCAGAAAGGTAATATTGACTTTCATCAAAGGGAGAGCATCATTTGTAATTTAAACCACAGTTTAACTGTAAGTAAATGATGCTAAACTTAAATGTGAGGAAAGTCAGTAAATGATGCTAAACTTAAATGTGAGGAAAGTCAGTAAATGATGCTAAACTTAAATGTGAGGAAAGTCAGTAAATGATGCTAAACTTAAATGTGAGGAAAGTCAGTAAATGATGCTAGGAAGAATGAACGTACAGGAACCAAATCCTTGACCACATACATATGAGGCAATGGGTAGATTTTAACAGACTTGCTTGGGCTTTCATTGATCTTGCTATTAAAAAAAAAGACATTTTAATGTTGAAACAAGGTTCCTTTAAAATCATGATTTCTTTCACTAAAATGGGTGAATGCTACTAACTATATGCAAGCTAGAGTATTTGTGCCATCAATATTCATGGCACATGAGCCACAAATTCCCTCACGACATGATCTACGGAAGGTTAAAGTGGGGTCCATTTCATTCTTGATTTTGATAAGACCATCAAGCACCATGGGTCCGCAGCTGGAAAACAAAAATTCAATAGAGCATACATAAGATGTAAAAGAGACAATTTTTGGTACAGCAAAGAAGAAATAAATTTGAGACATCCCATTGTAGTCTGTACTGAGACATTCCATTGTGGTGTGTACTGAGACATTCCATTATGGTGTGTACTGAGACATTCCATTGTGGTGTGTACTGAGACATTCCATTATGGTGTGTACTGAGACATTCTATTGTGTACTGAGACATTCTATTGTGTACTGAGACATTCCATTGCGGTGTGTACTGAGACATTCCATTGTGGTGTGTACTGAGACATTCTATTGCGGTGTGTACTGAGACATTCCATTGTGGTGTGTACTGAGACATTCCATTGTGGTGTGTACTGAGACATTCCATTATGGTGTGTACTGAGACATTCCATTGTGGTGTGTACTGAGACATTCCATTATGGTGTGTACTGAGACATTCTATTGTGTACTGAGACATTCTATTGTGTACTGAGACATTCCATTGCGGTGTGTACTGAGACATTCCATTGCGGTGTGTACTGAGACATTCTATTGTGGTGTGTACTGAGACATTCCATTGTGGTGTGTACTGAGACATCCCATTGTGGTGTGTACTACTTACTCATTGAGATCCACTTGATAGGTCTGTACCCTTGGTTTGTCACCAGCTTTTTCAGGATTCTGAAAACAATTTTGAAAGCTTAATTATTGATGCATTCTTAGATAAGTACTACAATAATTGTATTAGTATAGACCAGGGGTCTCCAAACTACGGCCCGCGGGCCGGATGCGGCCCGCGATGTCCTCTTATCCGGCCCACGGAGATCTTTTTGTCCACAGAAAAAACGTTTTTTGGTGATGGCTTAGGAACTTTGCCCAGAAAATCAAAGACATGCCTGGAAGAAACTGGCCCCTGAACTGAAATTTTATAGTTAATGCGGCCCTCGGACAGAAAAGTTTGGAGACCCATGGTATAGACTATAAAACTTGTCAGTAATTTACTTACCCATCTGTAAATTTCAAAATTTTTCAAATTCTGTTTGGCTTGAGCAGTAGGAGCAGCAGCTGTCTGGGCTGTTCTTGTCTAAATAAAAAAAAAAAATCTCATAACTTACATGCAGGTAGATTCAAATATGTATACTTAGAGTTTTAAGCAGCTTCATAATACAAGTTCTGAGTCAAACACACAAGTGCAATATTATATTCATCTGCATCCTTTTAACATTAATAATCATTTATGTGCTATTGCTAAACCCATTTATTTTTCTTTAAAATGTGGCAATTTTATAGTCTAATTTATAGTGGTTGAAAAGCATTTGATTCAGATTAGAGAAGGACAAATATTTTCAAATTGGGTTTTCTTTAAACATTTTGCTAAACACCTCAGACATGCAAAATACCCTAACCTCCCACACACTTATGACATATTACTATTCACCTTATGTTCACGTCTAAACAAAAGCAAACATAAAAATAAATACCATTCCTTTTTCTTGACTCTGACCCAAACACCCCTCCCCTGTAAGTTACTGCTTCATGCTCTAACACAGGGGTTCTAAAATGTCGGTAGGGTGGCGGGCACCACCTATTTTAAATCGACAAACTTCTTCCAGAGGCATAGCGACCCTTCCTGTCACCCCGGGACAAAACTGTCGATTTGCACCCCCCCGCAAATTTTTTATTTGCAACCCCCCCCCCCCCTCAAACTTTCGATTTCCATCCCCTTCAACCTTTCAATAATGTTTATGAAAAAAATTCTGTCTCTGTCGAATAGTAAGAGGCGGGCACATACGAATCGTTCGGCGGGCTAATCTAATACAAATAATAATTGACTACTATATTGCTATGTATCTATATTCCTGGGTGCTAGGGGCCTGTATAATAATATAATAATAGTTAGGGCATAGCTATAATAGCCTAATTTAATTATTAATATTAATAGTAATTTAACCCATATTCTGCTAGCGTCCCACTAATGGGACGCTTGTAAAAAAAATTGCTAAAATTTATTTAAAACTAGTTAAAACACAAATTATGTTTCATTGTATTTGAAAATGGTTACACTATTGAAATTGTGTGTGTTTTGTGAAAAAAATTAATTTAGAAAAATGTTATAGCGCCGGCTTTGCAGGACTTGTCAAAATGGCAGAAAAAAGAAAACATGCGCACAGGAAAATGCATATCTTCTAAAATATTAACATTTTAAGTGCAAAATACATTTGAAACTTGTAGCAGTACCATATTTCTATCTGATAAAAATATAAGAGTAACAATTTTTTTTATCTACTTTGTTATATCAAGTGTACAATAAGCGTCCCATAAGTGGGACGCTAGCAACAAAAGGCCCCAGGTAGATTGTTACACAAACGTAACATTTATTGGACACTAACGAAAAACAAAGATGCAAATGTTTATGTTAAATGGATATTAATGGTGAAACAATTGCTGACTTTGTTAACTGTTGACTTTATGGTGTTAAGTAGTATTTATAGATATTTAATTATGACCTTGACCTATATTTACTTATATATTATTGTATAAAAAAAATTTCAGAATTACACTAACTGTGACTAACTGAAGTATTTAATACCATTAATACCATTTATGGGACGTTTTTAAAAAAAATCAATATTTAAAAAAGTAGGCCTATTGATTTTTTTTTTAAATCTATAGATCTAGATCTAGTCATTCTTTCATTCAGTGCCCAAAAGCTAAACAATATAAAAAAAATTATAAAAATTTGAGACCTTGGGATAATATGGGTTTAAAGTAGGCTAATGTAGTAATTATTAATTAATAGGCCCTACTAGGCCTAATATTAATTATTATTATATTATAACTTGAGTTAGGCCTAAATATTACTTAATAATATTGGGATGATCATTATATCATTATTAAATTATGGCAGGAAACAGATTGGTACCGCAAAATGCATATTCGGTCTTCGCCGTTCATAAACTTTCTAACCAGACATCGTTCGGGGATTTTGTTTATACTGATAAATAGAGCAAGGTTTTTACAAGCTTCGTTAGCAACATTTTTGTGGAATTCGTTTTTTATGACATTTTGTGCCGCGGCGAAGGATGCGAAGTATGCAAATCTAGACGGAATGGATCTACTTGGAAAGTACGTGTACTGCACTAATGAGGTAAGAAATAATATTTTGTAAAAATAACTATTATTTTTTTATGGATTTTTCATTAGAAATGATTGCTGTAAATTATGAAAGTAAAAAAAAGTATATTTGAATGCGTTTTTTACTTTAATTTGAACAAAATGACTGCCGAAAATTACGACACATCGGCGTCGCTGAAAGCGGGAATTTCAGTTAATTTTTTACGGATATAAAATTGTATTTTTTTACTCCGAAGCATGTATTTAAATAACAGTTAAGTTAAATCTATTTAATTCTGTAAAATATAATTATTATTTTGCCGTAGATACTTTTTTAAATATTTTTAATGATTTTCTGTCGCGGAAAATCGGTATTCGCACCATGCACGCACACGTAGTAAAACTAGACTTATCTTTAAAACACGAGAATCTTGAGTACACTGCGAATAACAAAGTTTTTAAATTTTAGTTTACTTTTGACTTTAAGCCATTTGTTTTAAATCGAAATTAATTGATAATGTAATTATTTCAAAGTAAAAATTTTCCGTCGCAAATTGGCTTCTAACCTTCGCCACTGAACCAGCCTACGCACGACATTCGCGCGAGTCTGTTTCTTCGCAATAGTCTGTATAGTGTCGAGGGCTAATTCTAAAAAGAATCGAGTCTATTAATCTAATGTTTATTAAAATTAGGTACAATTGTTGGAACGCATGAGAAATAACAAATTAATATTTCTTTAAATCTATAGCCAAAAGAAAGTAGAACTTTATAACTCTGTAAATTATGAATCGAGTGACGGCTATCGTGAAAACGGGAGCCATTTTACTCTTTTTTTTAGGGTGACCTACTTTTATTATATAATTTTAAAATTCATCGATTTGATAAGCAGCTGAGTAGCTGACTACGCATGCGATATGGCTGACACGTTTTGGGATAGGGATCGAGTACACCATAGAATGTTTTTTTTCTTAGAACTAAGCGTATTTTTTTTTAAAATCAAAAGATACTTACATATCAGTTGTTGATTTCAATTTCATTATAGATCTAATCACTAACTTCAGTTTTTAAAAGTGATTTTGCTTCTAGAACTAGCGTATTTTCAAAATTACGTAGATTCTAAATCTAGATCTATTCACTTACTATTTGACAACCGTGTCAGTAAAATGAGGTCACCGCTTCCAGATTCTTAGGTTTTAATTATGTTTGTCATTTTGATCTATTATAAGTAGCATTAAAACAACTGCATCTATTATCAACATATTTTTTATATGCCAGTTCTAATTATACATTCTGTTCATTACCAATTCTAATGAAATCGTATCAGGCCCTAACACCCTGTTCACCTACACTGACACTACACTTGAATGACGCCACAGACAGTCGTAACTTTAAATTAATGTTCAAAGTACTAAACAATTATAATTAGCCATGTAAATGCTGCAACTATATTAAAAATTGGCATATAGACATATTTTATTAATTATGTTTTTTATATAGACCTTCTATATTTAACTCTGTTATTTTTTTCTTCCCCAGAGTGTTTCTAAAAGCCAGAATTTTAAAGGGGAGGGCGGTCGTTTTTTTTCTCAAGAATAATTATAGAAATAAGCTATAAACTGGTATATTTTGTAAAGTTTGACATAATTACAAATAAATGTATGCCTAAGTGACATTTCTGTGTAATTATATCGTTAATTTTGTGAATTTCGTGGATTTTTTGACCTCACTACATTTAGATGTAAAAAAAAATCTCAGTTGAGTGAGTGTGGTTAATCTACATTTTGAACGTGATGTAAATGTCTAGTGCTATTAATTTTTATATTTTTGAATTCCTCGATTGTTAAGCAACAAAATTGATATATAATATGTCGATATTTGTTACTTTGAAAATTGGCGAAAATCGACCCTAAAAGTAGATGCTTGAGGGTTGAATCTGTTTCCTGCCTTATAGATCTATAATCATAACCTAACAATTACTAATAGTAATAGTAATAGGGTCTAGGGAATTTAATAATTAGATCTGTGATAAATTAATACGTAATGCCAATCTAGATTCAACATAGATCTAGATCTAAGTCTATATCGATCTCTATAAAGTAGATTTAAAGTGCAAATAGTTTTGTCTTGAATTCAAGGTGAAGGCCATATTGAAGGTGACATGTTATGAAATAGAACAAAATAACTAGATAAACTAGTCTAGAATTACTATTTAAGTTAGATCTACCAAATCCATATCTGTTCATAGAAAAATATTTCACGTAGCTAAAAAATAAATAGATCTAATTCCATGTAAGTTTTAAATTAAAATCTTACTTGAATAAGCTGAATAAGAGCTTTAGTCGCAGGCGAAAATTTCGTGAGAGCTTTAGTGGTTGCCATATTTGTTTGCGTAAAGTAGAGGAACAAATAGCCAATGGACATGCGTAACACTCATTTCCGACAAATTAAAATGGCGGCGTAAACAAACTATTGTTAGTTAGTGATGTTTTGTTACTAATGTTAATCTACTTGCCCACTAGTAAAACCTTCTTGTGGTTAGTTCTTAAATTATATGAAATTTTTTTACCGATGACTAGATTTATATTATTTTTACATGGGTTCATATAGATTTACACTTAGATCTAGATCTATATTCTATAACTTGGTCCGACTAGTTCTGGATCTAGAAATCTAGTCATGTGCAAGTTATTGCACGTTCTCGATTTTCTCAATCATCAAGGCATTTTGATGATTTTTAGGAAAAAAGTATCAATAATAGCTAGCACACTAGTAAACAAAGTCAATTATTAATATATTAACTTCCTGTGCAAAGTTATTATTATAATGAATCAGTGATAACTGAAAAAAAAATCCAAGTCAGGTTCAGCCTTCAGCCTATTAATTTTAATTTATTAGGCTAAATAAAAAGTATTATGAGCTAATGAAGAAAAAACTACTGTACTAGAGTTACTAGAGTCTATATCTAGATTCTAGTACTGTGACCTGATTTCATGGGTGGATTTCAAAAGCATTAATTAACATATCTTAGAAATGAATTTAGATAGATCTAGCTAAAATTTAACACAATCAATAAACAATTTTTAAAAAAAAAACCTAGGCCTATAGTATTGTATAGTATTGTATAGTATAGGCCATATGGTGGCGGATAGTTGTAGTAAAAAAAAATCAATCTTAGTATTTTTGTTTTTTATGACAATATTTGTACATAATTAACATGCCATGCAATGCATTTTATATTCACAGAGGGTAAGTATACCATGTTACAAAAACTGCAATCTTAACTAATAATTTAATTTAAAAAGGATAAAAACGATCATAAATTAGGAAAATGCTATATATAATATTTTTAGATATGACACGACATGACTAATAAATGTAGCCAAATGATTGGACTTTGGTGCGGCACACATTTCCAGTGCTTTGTTTTCAGCAAAAAGATTATTATAAAATGGCATTATAGGGGGTTGATATAACTGACATTGTACCACAAGTACGGTCATGAGAATTATTCCCAGACATTTTCATTTATAAAAAGTTAAGACTCTGAGTCGTTGCTGCATCATCCAATAGTTAATGAACATCACGTAGTTTAGAAGTTATTTGATTTTAAGTTCACTTTAACACAATAATAAATAGAGCTATTTTCACTAAAGCACCACTTGTGAGATAAAGAAATTAGGTCAAAAGTACACCTAACTATTCTTGATTAACAGACTTAAGTAAAGAAAAAGGCTTTTACTTTTTAAGATTTTTTTTAGTTAAAAAAAATAGATACCTTGCTTACCTTAGGCCTAGATTCTACTATATAATATATATTATAGATAGATCTATATACTTAATTATAGGCTTATATAACTTAAATATCTAGCTGATATAGTTACCAAAAATTTAGGTTAAAAAAACTTAAACAATCATGTTTTTATTAGCATACCAAATTTAATTTTAACAATGCAAACTATTTTTTAAAATATTTAGATCTAGGCCTAAGGCCCTAATGGAATCTTTGAAACCTCTCTAAACTTTCAATACCCACTAAATGGGGTCCATTATTACTATTACTACTAAAATCAACTAAATATTAGATTGCTGAAACATTATTCAAAATCAATATTGATTATTTTGGCCTATTACAAGCTATTAGTGTAATGTATAGATCTAGTTATTCTAGTAGGCCTATATGCTAGATCTTTTTTATTCAATTTAGCATAGGCCTATAGATCTAGAATCAATAACAAATGTCCAAAGACATTATTATTTATAATTACAAAAGTCAGCCTATCTTGATCTATACATCACCATAATAAAAAAAAGACTAGACCTGTTACCTTTTTTGATAATTGAGTAATAGTATTAGTATTATTATCCCCAGTACAGAAAGGAAGGTCAAGAGAGCTGTGGTATTTTTTGTTGTGTTAAAACTTATATTTAATTTTAGTTAATGTTCATTTCTGGTGAATTAATGAGTAATTATGCATTCTAATTAATAGTATTTCACAATCACACCACTTTTGTAGTTCACAATGCTATCAAACTACCATTATTTTTTTTGCTCATTTTTATTATCTCCCCTTTTTATCTATCAGTATAAACAAGACTAGAGTCAGAGCTCCACTTGTCATGCTGTCTTCAGGCATTAAAGCCGTTGTTTCTGAGTATGAGCTACTCAATTCTAACTACAACGCTAAAAGACAGTCACTGGAGGATGATCATTTTTTCCCTCTTTATCTTCGCCAAGAGAGAAATAGCAATTCCGACATTCTTAAAAGTAGACAATTAGATCATATTCAGGCTGAAAGTAAAATTCCTGTCCCCACTGAATGGAGCCCTGGAATGATTCCCTGCTCAAACCACTTGCTGTGTGTCACACCTGAAAAGCCACAGAAAGATTTGGCAGATCTCAAAGAAAATATTCTAGAGCCCCAGGACACAAATACAATTCCACAGCCTGCTGTTTGGAGTCCGGGGATGAGTTTCCGTCCTAACCCATCTTTGTTTGTCACCCCAGATCAGCAAGCTAGGAGAAACATATCTTCTAGAAACTCTGTTGATAATGATGAAAATATGAATGTGGCTGAGAATGAAAAAGAAAAGCAGTTAAAATCAAAAGAAAAACTGAATGTTCGGTTTGACCTCCCATCCTTATCTTCAGGAGATGAGACAACAGAGGACATTGATTTAGACTGTGCATCTCCTATCACAGGCTTGGATTCCTCCAGTTGTCCTAGTCCAGTCTGGAAAACATTTCAACACAAGTTTTATAACCCCAATTACTACTCTGATGATTCAGTTCTTGAGAAATCACTCGACCAGCCTATTGCCAACCTCACAACTCTTCAAAGCTCTCTTGTAAATCAAACCTCAAAATCAAATAAACCAACAGCTCCTGGCATAGCTCAACCAACAGATCCAGCATCCCCAGGAAGTCAGCAGATCAAAGGGCTCCTGGTGAATGGGCCGGTTGTCTCAAGAAAAAATATGCCAGGCAAACAGAAATGCCAGACAGGCGCAGTACAACAAGCACTACAAGAAAAGCCCCCAGCCCTGACCCAACCATCAGTGCTGGAGCTTCCTCCCGTCTCAGTTGTCAGGGAATCAAAGAGTAATTTCATCTCCACGGAATATTCATTTCCTTTTTCTGCCTCACCTACAGGTGGGGAATATGAACATATATTTGCCAGACCTGAGTTTAACTCCACTCTCAAATTGCGCAGTGAACTGGACAGTCTTTTTCAGGGTCAGTTAGATTTAAAAAAGGCAGTGGAGGTAACATTAGCAAAGTCAGAGGTGAAAAGGTCAGAGTTGAATGAGAAGGTAATGTCAAAATTTGTTGTTTTATTTTACTTGAATCTGATCTTCAATCAGTTACATTATCATGTATGTAGGCTTATTTTACAATATAAAAGTATTGCATGTGGATAAGACAATAATAAAAGTTTGATTTCCCAAAACAGGCAGCAAACTACACAAATAGGGCCTGTAAGCAGTTCCAAAATCTGGTGGACATTGACACTTCCTTGGAAACATTGTGTGACAGAGTTGTCAGAATGAGGACAAGCAAAGCACATTCTCAGCGCCTACTCAATCTAAACAATAACGTAAGGGGGACAGGAAAAGCAATCATATCAACTTCTAGTACTCAAAATTTACAATGTGCTCCTTCTTTATATTCAAGCATACTCTTTATGTATACAGGGGCAGAACTACAGTGCCGCCAGACCCCGCAATGCGGGTGGGGGGGGGGGGGGGGGCACAGCCGACCATAATCAATTTTTTTTAGTTAAAAAAATTAATTTTCTTTCATTTTTGACTTGATGGTTGTTTTGTTAAAAGAATACTGTAGCTGCGGTTGGATTATCTTTATTCTATAGACACCGTCCCACGCTCTTGTATAATTATTCTTTTTCCCTTTGTTTTTAAACCATTGTGAAAGATAGGCAAACGTTTAAACCACTTCCATGACTTATTTCCCTTTTTTAAATAGTTAAATAGGGGTGCTCATAAGCTCCTTTTAATAGATTTGTACTTAGCAATTAAGCAATTACTTCTCTTAATAGTTTTTTTTAAAATACATACTAAAGAATGACATAGTATAAAAAAGAAATGTATTTAAAATTAATAATATAAATACAAAAAGACATAAAAAGTAAACATAACACGAGAAACCATTACATATACAAAGCTTTGATATTTCATATACTTTTGAATGACTAGAGGTTAAGAAATATTACGGCCGACATAAACTAAAACAGATTTTCAAAAACACTTATGCACTCACACACATGAGATGTTGTTATTTATATATATATATATATATATATATATATATATATATATATATATATATATATATATATATATATATATATATATATGTGGGGGCAACAAAATTTTTTTGCGGGGTGGCCCTTCGCCTCTGTATATATATATATATATATATATATATATATATATATATATATTTATATACACATATACATACATATATTTATATATATACTAATTGAGCTTGAACAACTTTCTTAGAAATCTTCAAACGCTGCAACAGTACCAGATTTGATGGAGTTTTTCTCATCTGATCTTCAAAAAGAAACTCCAAGTTTGAAACTGCTGGGCACAACTACTGACACTTCCAAGCTCCACACCTCTTCTGCAACTTCTGTGTTTGATTTATATCGCCACAATCGCGTATGGTTGGGTATTCATGACTTTTAAAGTTCATGCCTCAACTAATGCCATTGACCCTTTCAAGTTAAAGCAGAAAAAAAAAGTTTTATAAAATTGCAAATGAGTAGAACTTGAAAATATTGTTTTGCCTTTAAGGCTAAATTTCTATTGACAAACACCAACTCAAAATGTTACACTGTCATCACCTTGGTAAAAGAAAGTGATTGTCTATGACTGTTAGAGACACCTTTATTTTTATTATAAGGACCCATCTTCCTTTTCTGGAAAATGTCTATACTTTTAAACATTAGCATGACCTAGTAAAGGCTAGTTTGTTTTAATTTTTGTCATTTAAATTACATTACCATTAGCAGACAAGAAAAAAAATTCCAATTTACCAATTAAAATATTTATAATCACATGTTTTTAAAACTCTTCACACAATTTTATTGAATTTGCAAAAAAATATTGCATATATAACCTACTTACTGTATGTATGACCTATTTTATAATAAAAGTAATCCAAATTGTTATTTTCATTTTTAAGTTGTGAAAAGTTCTTTCTTCATTTGACTGGTGCAGTTATTGGTTATAAGAATAATTGGCTATAATTGATAAAGTGTGTTGGTTTTTTGTTAATATGGAGACTAAATAAATAGTAAAACTAAATAGTTTCCTTCAATCACAGCACTAATTTTTCTATGTACAGTTGATTTTAATTCCAGCATCTTGAAATTTGTTATTGTAGTAAATCTTGATCAAAGGCTTTATTGAAATTCTTAAATTCTAGTATAGGTATTCAATTTCAATACATAATATAGTGATCCACACTTTTCTCTTAAGTTATTGTAATAGTAGTTCATTATTATATATTTAAAGAAAATCATTCATTTTGTTCTTTATAGTGCATAATTATAGAAAAACTTGTTATTAAAACATTTTTTATGCATTTTTACAAGCTTTTATTTAAAACATGCTAACTCTGTCATGCTTCATCCGTCATCAGTCAAAGCTGGCAAGCTAATTTTTTGACCACGTCTAACTGACCAATTACTCTGAAACTTGGCTCGTGGGTCAAGACCCGATAAAATGTAACCTGACATCGAATTTGACTTAATTGGATGTTTAATTAATTTTTAAAGAATTAATTAAAATTTCCTATATAAAGTATTATTTACTGCGCTGTTATTTATATACGCACATTTTTCATTGAGTGCAATAAATATCATCACTAAGTAGTTGCTGAAGTCCACAGGGAAAGATAAGTAGACCAAAAAAGTAATAAGGGAAATCATTTGAAATAGTGCTGGATTATTAGGGTTTGATCTTCATAAAAATCAAGTGAGTTGACCAAGTGCTTCTTAGGAAGCCAAAACGAATACAAATTAGAAAATCAAAAGAGTTTAGAGCAGTGGTTCTTAACATGGGTTCGATCGAACCCAAGAGATTCGGTATGTAAGTCTCAGAGCTTTGGCGGAAGTGAAGATGCACACCCGACTCCTGTGATTCACTATCAGATTTTGTCAATGTGAAACTGGTGGGATTTAGTACCGCCAAAAAGAATAAGAACCTCTGCTTTAGATTTAGAGTGTAGTTAGTGGAAGGTGCAAGCATATTTGGTCTACTTTTGGTCGTGTCTTTTGAATAATTTCTATAATAGTATATTAAACTTTTAAATTATCAGTTATGTTGAACAAGTAACAAAGCAGTAGCAAACCTCGTTTAGTTTATATGAAAATTGCAGTATTAGGACTTGTTATAAAACAAGCAATTAAAAAAAATGTTCTATTCAGTGGCGTCACTAAGTCTGGTGGCACCCATTTTGCCTAATGGCATCAATTTGTTTGCACATTATATTAATCCATCCACTTAATTCATGTGGAAAAAGTATAGTTTTTATTGTAAATTATTAGACATCGGTGTCACCCCCTCCACGGTCGTTGATTTACTTATCAGTTTTTCAAAAAACTCAACAAAACCTTTTTTTCCTCTGTAAAGTTTGTAGTTGGTCTTACACTCTCCTCCTCCCCCACCCTAGTTTTAAAGTGTGCACAATTCATAATAAAGATGTTTATCTAAGTCATTTATATAGGTGGATTAACTATTACAAGAGGGGGGGGGGTGACACAATGACGTGAACCAATTATATTATTTCCAGACTATAGATAAACATCGTTACTATTACGTCTGCAGTGATTAAAGCTTATACATGTACGTGTATGGGGCATACATTTAAATCATAGGCTTATGTTGGCATATATATATATATATATATATATATATATATATATATATATACATACACCTTGTTTCTTGGGGGGGGGGGTGACACCACGAAGTGCCGCACCGAGTGATACGCGATGCCACTGGATCTCTCAAATTGAAGCTGAGATAATTGCAAGAATCGTACAAAGAACTAGTCGCTAGTGAAATCGTACATTATAAAGTGTGAAACGATTTATCTACTCGCCATTCCGGTGTAAATCCTTCCCATTTACCTCGGCGAAAAAGCGCCCCCACCCACCACCGTTTTCTTATTTTAATGGACACAATACGCTTTAATATAGGGGTCATCCATAAATGGCGTCACGATTTTTACCTCCCCCCTCACCTCCGTCACACGTCATCACAAAAGGCCAGACCCCCCCCCTAAAATGACGTCACACCTCAGCCTACAACCCACCTCAAAATTGCAGTTGAATTTTTTTTAAACATCGATATTTTTCTAAAATCAATTCCTATTACAATGTATTAAAATAGTTTTCTAAAACGCGAAATAACGGCTATAATTCGTTTTCTAACATTGCTTTTTTAAATGCAAAAGTGTGACGTCACACCATCTGAGCCCCCCCACCCTCCCCCTCATCACACACCGTCACAAAATTACGGACCCCCCTCCCCCTACGGGTGTGACGTCATTTATGGACGACCCCCCCCCCCCCCCTTTAGCGTAACCGTACCACTTGCTGGAGTCTCATAAAAAAAATGATCACGCAATATTTTTACTTTCTCGTATATACGAAGTATAGAGAAAGTATTGTAATCGTGCAAAAAAAAAAATCGAGATTTTTACAAATCTCGACGTTTTACACCTCACTGATACGGAAAAACATAATTTTGCAATCTTGTCCGTATGTCTGTGTGTGTCTGTGTGTCCGTGCGTAGACACGATTACTTGAGTACCGTTACAGCTAGGTTGATGAAATTTCATATATAAGTATTTTATCAAAATCGTAGATCCGTATCAACTTTTGAGCGATTTTCGATAACCGGAAGTGGTACTTTTCCTACTTTGAATTTTTCAAAAGCCTATAACTTGAGTACTATTTCAGATAGATACATGAAATTTCACATGTAAGTAAAAGATCTAATTCTCTATCCTGTGTCCAGAGGCGTATCCAGGTTTTCGTCGGAGGGGGAGCGAAATGAACAAAAAAAGGCGCAGAATTTTTAAACCCATGTTCTATATACGTGAATTATATATATATATATATATATATATATATATATATATATATATATATATATATATATATAATTACTAGCTGTAGGGCCTATGTGATTACTTCGCTATGATGTAAAATAAATTGTTATTAGCACTTGAAGAAATAAGTAAAAACATACAATGTAGGCCGACAAAACAAAAAAATGTAAACAATATATATATATATATATATATATATATATATATATATATATATATATATATATATATATATATATATATATATATATACAGTACAACCAAAAACAATAAACGCAACACAATCTGTTTGTAATTCTTGTAAAAAAAATTTTTACATAATAATTCCTGGGACATTAATTAAGACAAGTGAAATAGGTGAAATAAACACGCTCTTAATATAAATATGTATATATCTACATATTTAATTATAAATGTCAAAACAAATCAATAATTACTTTGAATGTAATATAGTTGTTTAACAGTTCTTGTTTTCAAATATTTTTTTTTGTCTACAATCATAATTAAATATATTGTTATTATAAATGCTAAAGTATTACAGCATAATGAAAGTTTTTAAAATCAGAGTTGGTATAAAAACACGCTTTAAATATTAGAGAAAAACATTCGGAATAATAGCTTACATTTAACTAAATGATCGGTCTTTTAGTTCAGATCATACCAGTGGCGTAGGCAGGGGGGGGGGGGGGGTTAGTGGGGGTCATAACCCCCCCCCCCATAGACCCCTCGGTATTTAGAAAAAGTATCAGGGGGGGGGTGCAAATCGAAAGTTTGAGGGGGGTGCAAATCGAAAGTTTGAGGGGGGGGGGTGCAAATCGAAAGTTTGTCCCCGGGTAAAAATTGGAACCCCCTCCTTGAGAAGATCCTGGCTACGCCACTGGATCATACATCTTTTAATTAACTACTTTGTGTTCTTTAAAGATCATGTTTTAACATAGTGATCAGGTATGGGTAAGATCGCTGTATTGATCACACACCTTTTTACTGGTAATTGCAAAAACAATATTCACAAAGTTTTACCTGATTCTAAAGCTATGATTCTGGCGGCATGGTACTTTGGAACATCGTTACGCGTTTTCCCAAATGTACTTTACAGATCAGTTCGGGGTGGGTTTGGGGGGGGGGGGGGTTCAACTTCATTCACCACTGTCCGGTCACTTTAGGTCAATTATCCAACCCAGTTTATACCTAGGTGTGACATTAATGTCGCTCTACACAATTGTGGTGGTGAGGTGTGTATGTGTGTGTGTGTGGTGAACAGAGTGAACATAGCGTCAGTTTTTAGATGACTGTTCTATATATACTGATTCAGAAATAGATTTAAATAAGCAGCAGTGGTAATATGACACTATTCTTTTTTACAGAGGGGTCCATGGGGGAGGGGTTTTAACTGTTTCCTATAATTTGTAATCGTAATCACTATCGCCCAAACTGTCATAATACTAGATCTACTACTTCATCGTGATGACGTTGTTGACCTTGTCAAAATGTCCTTACCACTACGCAGTTTCCCCATAAGTAAATTTAAATAGAGGTGCCAAATCAGTTGTATTTGTGTCTGTATTGTAATTTTTAAAAAATTAATTACACGATTAAAACTGTATATATAAAGTCATTATGTGTGAAGATTTATGTATAATATTTTCTAGATCAATTATTCTTAAGCAAATACAGTAAACAGTTGCCTTAAACGTAACACCCCTCTTGCCAAGTGGTGCTACCCGTAGAGGTTTTTTAAAATTGCAATGCATCGTAATGGTTATTTTAATAATGACAAACTTAATACAGCTGTTAATACGTGTTGTAAACGTGGACGCTACTAGAATAGTCAATTCTGCTTAATTACTGCATGAAAAGAAATCTTGTGATTTACATAGATGTGCCGACCAAAAATAATTTTTTAACAAAAATCATTGTTTAAAACTGAGTTTAAAAAGTTTCCAAAAAGGCGCAACTTTGCTGAAAATGGCCAGAGGGGGAGCGGCCGCTCCCCCTGCTCCCCCCCTGCGTACGCTACTGCCTGTGTCTATAGCCCGAGTTCCCATCCCCTGTTATTTTATATAAGAATATTCGAGAAAGTTTAGGGGAGATCACTCCCGGTTTATTTATAAGAGAATTTCATCAATGCGTTACAAATCGTGTATTTTTAAATGCGTGACATTGTTTTCTAAAACTGATTTATTTAAATATAAACAAAACAGGCGCTTTATTTATTGGATCATAGTTGTTGGGGAGCGGATTGGTTCACCCTCCGTTATAATGATGCAGAGCACACCTCGGCGACCACCCAGGTATCAGGGGAGCCACCGGTTGCACTACCGCAGGGGCGCCGGGTACGGCCCTTGTTTTGGTTTAATCATCGAATATCGTGTGCCACCGTGCCCCTATTGTAGGGTGATATTTAAATTGAATGTAGGCATCATAGTGCTCAGGGAGAGCCCGGGGTGCTGCAGGTCATCCGACCACCAGTGCGCCGGCTGACGCGCCTGATTTAATTTAGTCAATGGTTAAAGTTGCCGATTGTATCTATAGTGTATCTCACTCTAAAAACGAACGCCATAGGTGCCATAGTGCTTACCGGGAAGCACAGGACAGAGGCGTCGCGAGGCGGGGGTGAGGACCACACCGGGTGACACCATTTAAGGGGGTGACACTATGGCGATAAGTTGCAAAATATATAGAAGAAATATGCTTTTTGCCAGTTCAATTAATGATTAATTAGAGTTATTCTAACTGACAATACTAATAACTGTGCCCACTTTAAAACTATATAAGTATATATATATATATATATATATATATATATATATATATATATATATATATATATATATATATATATATATATATATGTTACGGTCAAAGCCCGAAGTGCGGCCAAAGCCCCCATTAGCCGATCCATCCTGGCCAGTCCGCGGATTGGCCGGCCAAATACCGAAATCAAGTTAAGTTTCGGACTTTGACCGGACAATGGGAGGCAATATTGGCCAATGCGCGCATTGGCCGGCCAGTGCGGGCTTTGGCCAACTACGGGCTGTGATATATATATATATATATATATATATATATATATATATATATATATATATATATATATATATATATATATATATATATATATATGTGTGTATATATATATATATGTGTATATATATATATATGTATATATATATATATGTATATATATATATATATGTATATATATATATATATATATATATATATATATATATATATATATATATATATATATATATATATATATATATATATATATATGTGTGTATGTGTGTGTGTGTGTGTGTATAATCATATACTTTTTCGGGGGGGTGGGGAGGGGGGTGACACCCGACCTATCGGCGCCGAATCGCATCCTGCCGGGGCGCAGCCCCTCCGAAAATGTCCCCCCATAGGGATCGGATGCAGTGGCGTAGCGAGGTCGGGTGTCACCCGGTGCGGCACTTAATGGTGTCACCCCCCAGAGGCGTTGCGACCCTTCCCGGGGACAAAACTTTCAAATCAAACTTTAGATTCGCACCCCCCCCCCCCTCAAGAAGTTTTCGATTTGCACCCCCCCTCAAGTTTTTCTCTATATATTTTGCTATTTTTTGCCTTGGTGTCACCCCCCACCCCCCTCTAAATGGTGTCTCCCGGTGCGGTCCGCACCCCCCCCCCCCTCGCTACGCCTCTGATCAGATGAAAAGTGTAGTAATGCATAAAGCTAGACGTCTATCAACTTTTTATGTAGGCCTAGATCTAAATAGACTCTAGCTAGATGTCAATCAATCGAATTTTCACAAAACCAGTAAAATCTAGGGACATAATACAGTAGTGATTTTTAAAAGCAAAAAATATGGTTACTCCCCTTTACCAGCGTCCTGTCCTATACCACACTCAAATCAGCTGTGACGATGTTAAAAAAATAATTTCTAGGTACTCAATTGCTGTTTCGTGCAAATAATAATGTTCATCATAGCTATATTTATTGATTATTTTCACATGGCTTTGCGTGTGTGCGATACACACATTGGTGCTCCTAGCAGCATAACACATTTGAGATAAATGCACTGTTTGTATTCCACATTAAACTAAAAAGCCTTAGATTTTTAATGTGGCTTTCCAACTTGCTATACCAATACAACGAAATAAAGAAACGTGCACTATTTTGGCGTCTCGAATGTGGTTATCAATTTATCTTGTGTATAAGATTATCAATTTATTATTCTTATGTTTGCAAAATGTGTATTTTCTAGAATGGTTGGATAAACTGGTTTACGAATGTTTAGACCTAGATCTACATTTATGATTATTTATTATTATTATTAGTAGTAGTAGTAGCAGTAGTAGTAGTAGTAGTAGTAGTAGCAGTAGTAGTAGTGTTTTCATTATTACAAGCTATTTTATAAAATCCTAGAAACGCTATTTGAATTGAGGGGTGGTGATCTATGGACATTTTCATTATGTAAATCATATTTTATATGAGATAGTAATGGATAAAAAATATCACATATTAGTTTTATGGAAGGCTTAATAAATATGTTCACTACACGAACTTATGTCATCTATAAAACTTAAAAGTGTAAACGAAATTATAATCCTATCCATAATAGATCTCTTTAACCATGTTTTTCCCTTGAAAAAAAAATCTGTATCCGCCAGGTTAGCATACGATGGCATAGAATGGCCGTCTCTCGGATCTAAGGACGGATTCTTCTTAGGCCTCTCTATAGTTGATTTTGTGTTTATTACTTTAGAATTTATTACATTATCATTTGGTTTTCCTATTATGGTATGTAGATTAGAATATTTCTTAGAATCCGTTTAGAATAGGAAGCTAGTTTTTAATGTAAAGGATCTAGTCTATATTTTTAGACTAGACTTTTATTTGGAAAGTTTTCGAAATCGGTTAAATGTTGGCCTTGACCTTTTTGGATACCATGTTATGTTGGACCGTGTTAGGCCCTATTAATCTATTATTACTGCCTATAGACTAGATCTAGACTAGATCTAGATTTCTAAATCTAGATGATTGTAGATCTAGATAGAATCTAGTAGATATCTTCTAGTTGCTGTCAGTAACCTAGCCTCCATAGATCGTGGATAGCATAATAATAGTAATAGAGTTGTATTAGTCTCTAGTCTAGATCTAGAATCTAGATCTAGATTCTATAGAATCTAGTGGATGGGACTAGACTAGAAGATCTACTAGATCTAGATCTCTATGACTAGAGTAGAAACTAGAAATCTATGAAGTATGATTCCTAGATTGGATTTTCTAGATCTAGGAATCTAGACTAACTAAACTAGTAAACTAGTAGATCTAGAATCTAGGCTATAGATCTATTTCTAGGCCTATTATTTACTTAATACTTAGTATCTAGATTCTAGGCCTAGATTGTAGATTTAGTAGTTTTGTACATCATTGACATTGATGAATATTTGATCTAAGTCTTAAAAATCATATGTTCTAGATCTAGGACTTATACATAGCGTCTTTTTAAAACAATGTTTAGGTTGTTTTTTTTCAGAAAAAATGAACTGAAATTGAATGGTATAGGCCAAAGAAATTATATGTTTATAAAAAATGCTATTTTCTTTACTAAATAAATTTTTTGGGGGGGTAGTGGTAAGGAGGCTGAAAATTTGTGTGTTTTGCCTGGTCGCGATCACCTATAGTAAACATAACACTGTAGGCTAATTATTCTACCACTAGATAAATGGCCCTTTGAGGAAGGATACAACGGGTGCTAGGTTGATAGTGTTGTCTCTTTTCTCAAAACCAAAATCACCCCCTTAACTTCAAATTGAACCGGAAACGAAAAATGACATTGAAAACATTTTTATCCAGAATCAGCATTTTAGTCGGATTTAAGCTTGTTCTACACGTAGTTACTGCACATTGATACTAAATATAGTCATAGCCATACCCCTAAACCGTGAACCTAATCTCAATCATGACAAAAGTCGCATTTAGAGTTTCTTTCAGGAAACTATACTTGGGGGGAGATGAGCTCCTACACACACAAACATCCCAAAGCAGTCCCATTCAACGAAATATAATTATATACTTTTTCCTGTGTCCGCCCCCTCCCAGAAAGTTTAGTCCAGCCCCGCCCTCGAAAATTTCTAGTAACCCCCTCTCCCGGGAGGAAAAAGTTTGAAAGAAACACTGGTCGCATTTGCAGATCATACAAACTAAAGGTAGAGCCTGGGAGGGGCTTTTTTTTATTATTTATTTTTATATATTTTTATTATACCTCAAGATATGCATGAAAGAAACTCTAAACGCAAACCTCTTTTAAGGTTAGACAACATTGGCTTTTTAATTCAATGTTTACTCAGAAATCAGTGACGTCTTATTATTGTTTGCACTCTCCCGGCTTTCGACTATTTCCTACTATATGCTCCTTGTGACGTCATGTTTCGTTTTTTTAATTACTATTCATGTTTTTACTTTGCTTATGTTTTCTCTATAGCGTTCTCGACAGATACATAGATAGATAGACAGATAGAGAAACTATTATTATAGATTTTTCTCCATTATTTTTTTCATTGCCTTAAATTATAGTCTTTTTGCATTTAAAAATAATTATGCACTGAAACACAAAACTACACACATAAAATGTTAATAGTACAAGATTATTTAACTGAGCTAAAAAAAACAGCAAAAATATTATATAATTGTAAGGAGGAAAGACAGATCGCGAAGAGGCAAAACCAGCAAAATTGTGATTAGGGGGGATATATTTAAAAGTTATAGTGCGAATGGGAAAAAAAAAGTGAATACATATTTTTATTCTCCTTTGGCTGGCGTGTATTTCTATGCTTTGGTTTTCATTCTATGTCAAATAGTAACGAGATTAGGTGTCTCGAACCGGAAAGGAGTCTCCGTTTTGGGCTAAGGTTGATCAAGACTGGTCATGTTACTCTAGAGAGGATGTGGAAAAATTGTTATCAACAACTGCTGAGACCTAGATTCCTGAATATAGATCTAGATTCTAGATCTATAAACTAGTTAGTAGGCCTATAATATTACTTGCCATCGGTACCCGTTACATGTGAATCATAGGCCTATATATTTTTAATGTTATACATGTTTGAGAGAAAATATTTTATAAATTAAAGTAATTTGTATTAGTTTGACCGAGAAAATTGTATATATTTCACGTCTTGATACGTAGATTTATAGAATCTAGATCTAAATCAAATTTGAATGAAATAGTTCATTTCTTTATATTTTAAAATCGGAAGATGACACCATTAGTGTTGTGTTCGTTCGTTCCATAGTGTAAACATGTGACGTCATTGTTTATTGCGTGCTTGTCACAACTATAAGCACTTTTCCGGTTGTATAATAAAAACTGTATTTCTACATTCGAATATGCCTTTTTTAAATTTTTTATTCTTTAACTAAAATTTAGGTTATACATTTAAAACATCTAACATATTATTTTCAACAAATGTCCATATCAAGTTCTCCATATATAGCTGAAGATACCGAGCTCATATCCTGTGAAAATATTTTGCTGACAGAGAGAAGTGCGCACATGGACTTTTATATATTAGGATAATAAACTATTAAACTATAAACAAATGTTTGCTAATAAATCCCTAGAGATCCTGTCTTAGGCTAGTTCTAGAATTTAGATTGTAAATTTATGTCTTCTTCTACTAAAAAATATTGCCTTTTTTTTCAGTAGGGCCTACATATTTTTCTACTAGATCTAGAGATCTATATAAGTTATAGGTCTATATGAGAGGGCCCTATATTTTTCTAATTTTTCTAATTTGTCCAGTGAGGAAAGGGGAGGATGACCATGGACGTGCTTCCCCCTCTCTGTGGATATGCCTGTTATTAAACAAAATACCTAAACCTAAAAAAAACAAGTTAATAAAAAGTCTAGTGACAATTTAAGCGCAATTTCCTTATGTTATCCATAACAATTTTTTATTTTTTGTGACCGAACGAAAGGATATTTTTTTTGCGCTAAAAAAAAAGACAACTATATTACCCTATATCAACGGAAATAGTTTTATTTTAACGAGTAGGCCTACACGATGCTCAGTTTTTGAAAAAAATATCATCCTAGGCCTACACGATGCTCAGTTTAAAAAAGTAGTAATTAATTTTTTGTGACCGAACGAAAGGATATTTTTGAAAACTTTCTTCGGCAATATTGTTCAAAATTATGGCAGGAATTGATTGGTAAATGTTTCACGTCGCTAAGTGGTCTGGTTGCCGAGATATGGGCCAAAAACTGCATTTTTTCAAGGTTTTTTGGCCCACAATCATCCTCGGAACTTGCTTAACATATTTGCTTTTGGAACTAGTCCTCGATATTGCTTCATTGAGGAGGAGATTTGACTTAAAGCTGCGGACACCCATTCATTCATTCATCCATCCAGAAATGACGAGTTAATAATCGCAATTGTCCGTAAGGAAATTGCGCTAACAACATAAAAATGTATTATTTTAAAAATTAGTGTTACAAAATTAGCAATTTTAAAATCAACCTCACATTTAATTTAACATGAAGTTTCACTTTAGGGAGATAACTTTAGATTTGCTCTATCATTTCATGACTGTCAACTCCACTTTTTACTGAAATCTTCGGAAGGAAAACAAAACTTTAAAGCCTTGTTGTAAACATTTTTTAAAACTGGATTTATATATATATATATATATATATTAGGCAGTTTGGTTCACACCTTCCGGGTTTGTTTGTTTATATTATCTCATGGCCCAAGCTCTCAAAGCGATTTTGAAGCTATCGTCAGTTTTAGTCATCGGAAATACCCGTTTTTAATTAAGTCTGTTAATTAAGAATAGTAAGGTTTACTTTTGACATAATTTCTTTATCTCGCAAGAGGCCCTTTAGTGAGAGTAGCTCTGTTTATTCTTGTGTTAAAGTGAACCTTAAAATTTAAACTTCTAAACTACCCTTCTAATGTTAACCGATGTATGGTTAAGCAATGGTTCAGAGTCTTAGCTTTATATACATGACAATGTCTGGGAATAATTCTCAGCTCCTTACTTTACGTGTGTCACTATGCCAGAAATATCCCCCTCCCCTATAATACCATTTTATTATCTTTTTGCCAAAAACAAAGCGCAAGAAAATGTGTGCCGTTCCAAAATCCAATCATCTGTCTAGATTTATTAGTCATGTCGCGTCATACTCAAAAATAGAATGCATTGCGCTTTCTTCATTGATAATGGTATTTATCATTTTTTAAAGTGAATTATCAGCTAAGATTGCAGTTTTTGTAACATGGTATACTTACCCTCTGTCAATTAAAAAGGATGGCATATAAATGGACCAGAGCGAGAAAAGTCCTAAAGGTATTCGAGAAGCCCATTAAATATTTAAAATTATGCACGGTGTAGTTAAAATTAATATGGTTAGAAAATCATGTCTGTTTGGTTTTCTCAGACTTTACTAAAGATTTGATGTTTTTAATATTTTCCCTGACTAAATAAGAATAAAAAAAAAACAATTGGTTTTCATGTGTAATGGCGACATGATGGCATCATGCTATTCAATAGGCTAACATAAATTTTATTGTAAACAAAAAATGGTAGAACTAGGTTGTGGTTTAAATTTGCATTGTTAGTTAAAAACTATATCCTCAAAGTTTTGTAGATAAAAAAAAAGAAAGTTTTTTCAAATATGTTCCATCAACTTTCAACAAAGAATCATACAAATATAATTTATGACCTAATGGGGATGGGGTGTTCTATCATCTATATATATAATTCTCTTCATGGGGACCATACAGCTTGGCCGTTCCTACCCCGCTTTCTAGGCAGATCACTACCTCCCCCATCCCCACCTGGCAGGTGAGCTGTGGTTCACCATGAATGTTTACAATCCTTGTGACTGCTATTAGTGGCAGATAATTTAATTTTTAAACGATTTGAAACTAAGGGGAGATAATATGTTCTGCCTGCTCTTTTCATTTTCGCCTGTAAACTGTCGTCACAGACGGCTGCTTTCACAGAGGTGGGGGGGGGGGGGGAGAGTAGAGAGGAGTGGAAAGCGAGGGTGATGATAATCATCCTTTAATAGCTACTGATAGTGTTTTAAAGCAAAATATTTTCAGTCGCAGCATTGGTAGTGTCAAATTTACAAATTATGAATTACTGAAAAATAGGAATTAAACTAAATAGCTGCATATGCTACATCGCCGGTCAGCTCTAAGGGTTTGGTTGTTGGAATATATAGCCATTATTTTATATGTAACGCTGGCTTTGATTTTCTTTACTCTTATATGTGCAATAAATAGACTTTTGACATGTATAAAGTCTTAAAGAAAAGGTTATTGTGTATAATTGTTGCGAGTTTTTTTTCTAGATATGTATAGTATACATGTCACTAGTGTAAATGTGCTCTAAGGGTTTTTATAGTCTCCTCACCAATCATGTATTTTTAAACTTGTAACCTTGTTTTCTAGAACTGAGTAATTGAAATGTAAACAATGCAGGGGTGTACTTCTTGAAACTTCTTGGATCTTAGTTGTTGGGGTGCAGGTTTTTCTACATGTCTGCAATTTAGTCAATGACTATAATATTGAGTAATTTTCCATAAATTTTCCATTTTTATGTCCCAATTAAAATAAATCTTTTTCTTTGTTGTTAAATGTAAATATGGAACAGGATTTTCTCTAACTCAACTATTGCATGTCAAAATGTCATGGACAATACAGTCCATTTACTCTGAATTTAGCCCGCCTTTCTTTCTGGATTTTCTTCCAATGCTTTTGTTCAATTAAGAACTATCTATAAGGCAACGTTTGTTTGGTTTTGGAGTTTAGATAGGTTGTTGTCTTCAGCTATCGAGTGGGAATATTTGGTTGAGCAACCATGAGCTTTAACCACACCTACCCATTGTACCTTTCATATCACTGCATAGTTAATCATTGAACAATCACTCTGGCTAAACTAGAAGCACTTTAATAAAGTTGTTTGCATTTATCCAATTTCTTTCTTTTTTGCCTACATGCAACTTTTGTGACTGATTTAAAAAAAAAAGTTTAAAATGTCCTTCAACCTCAATTGTATTTCAAATGACATGCAATGTAATGTAAAACTTTTCTTGTCTGTTGTCAGTTGCTGATTCAATTATTTTTTTTTAATGAATGATTGGATAACATAATGTTAATGATTGGATTAGACCTGTAATATTGATTCCAAGTCCATTCTGAATGTCTCATATGATTTCTTGTGTTTCTATTTGACTTTAAAAAATAATGAGCAGCTTCCTTACTGTGGCACTCATTTATTTCAAGCAGACCAGCCTCATTTGTTATTGGTATTATTAAGTTATAAATTATAGCTAAGTCCATGAGTAATCTAATATAACAGAACACATTAATCTACTTTTTGATGCTCATCAATTTTAGTCATTAAATGTAAAAAATTAGTTATGTAAGTTCTAAGCAATGAAATTTGAATTTTTGGTTAAGGCACAGTAATACTCATACTTTGTTCAGCAAACTCAAATAAAAGTTCTGTAACATTGGTGGTATTTCCACATATCTTGCAGTACTGTGTTCATTATTTATTGCTTTTAATAAATTTAGACATTTTCTCTATTGACTTATAGAAAGTTTTAATACATCAAATGTATGATTAGGCTTGAAAAGAATAACACACACCCACAATCAATTGGGTATAAAGAGTTTTTTTTTTATAAAGAAATAAAGTCATCAGATTTTAGTTCTGTGATTCCATTGTAAATATGTTATACTTAGCCTCTGCATCTGCATGAAATGCAGTTGCACATTTTTACAAATTAGCATTCATGTTTACACCAAAGATTAATCCAATTAATATAACATTTCATTTGTAAAAAAGCCCATCTTATACTGTATTTCTGATAAGTAAATGACACATTTTATAATTGTATAAAAAGCGTATATGCTACACTAATTTTTTTTTACTTACTCTTTTAAAACATTTTTCAGAAAAATAGCTGGTTCTGTGGAATGAAGGAACCTGTTATCTACAGTTATGAAGAAGGCTCAGATGAAAAGCACTCCAGGATAGAAGTTCCATGGCATTGTTCATCAAATTATTCTATGGCAACATTGTTGTAATTGAATTTTAAAATCAATAAGCTCCAGTTTATTTGAGATTTACACCAATGGACTATGTGAGCCAAAAAAAAAATTGGCAAGAAATATATTCCTAAGAGCTGTTTATCAAAAGTTGTTTAAAACCTGACATTTGAAATTGAAGAAGATTATATATATCAAATGGCACAGCTGAAGTTGCCTACAATATCAGCTAGCTGACATTTTAACTTACAACATATTATTGACTTGAAATTTGAAGCTACAAACATATTTTGGCTTTTATAAATAATGTGAGTCTTTCTGTGTTCTCCTTGATTCAAGGTCATTATGGATAATGTACTGAATTTCCATGGAAAGATGCTGTGGATTGCTATAATTGTGTTGGTGGTAAGTAAAAAAATGGCTTATGCTGTCTGTCTTTCATGGCTAATTATTGTGCAGATATTGTAAGAGATAAAATGTGGTCACAAGTGTGTAGAGGTTAATATTGAGAATCTCTTGTCTCATTTTTACTATATTTTTTTTTTTAACTTGGGGGAAAAAGCAACACTGGTTTCCAATCTGTAGTTTAACAAGAAGATATATGTATGAGACAGTGATAGATTTTGTTTACTACTTCATTGGCTATGATCCATAAATCACCTACATATCTCTGTACTTATATTTTCTATAAAAATTGTTTTTCTGTATTAATTGTTTTTCTGTATGAATTATATATATATATATATATATATATATATATATATATATATATATATATATATATATATATATATATATATATATATATATATATATATATATATATATATATATGTATGTATATATATATATATATATATATATATATATATATATATATATATATGTATATATATATATGTATATGTATATATATATATATATAAAATTAATACAGAAAAACAATTAATACAGAAAAACAATTTATATAGAAAATATAAGTACAGAGATATGTAGGTGATTTATCTCTTTGTTGGGTAATAAAATTTTCTTTCTAATTTAACATAAGGAGAAAGCAAATATTCTAATGCTGACCAAAACTATCATTTTATTTAGATGTCTTTAGAATATTTGATGGGTTGGTTGTATTAACTGCTAGGTATGATTTACCCTAAATATTACTAGTATGGTGGTCTAGTATAACATAGACTGACATAAATTACATCTTAGTGAGCAGCACCACACATTTGAGCTGATGGTGCTAACATTTTAGCTTAAGCTAGCAGCACCACACATTTGAGCTGGTGGTGCTAACATCTTAGCTTAAGCTAGCAGCACCACACATTTGAGCTGATGGTGCTAACATCTTAGCTAGCAGCACCACACATTTAAGCTGGTGGTGCTAACGTCTTAGCTTAAGCTAACAGCACCACACATTTGAGCTGGTGGTGCTAACATCTTAGCTTAAGCTAGCAGCACCACACATTTGAGCTGATGGTGCTAACATCTTAGCTAGCAGCACCACACATTTGAGCTGGTGGTGCTAACATCTTAGCTAGCAGCACCACACATTTAAGCTGGTGGTGCTAACATCTTAGCTTAAGCTAGCAGCACCACACATTTGAGCTGATGGTGCTAACATTTTAGCTTAAGCTAGCTGCACCACACATTTGAGCTGATGGTGCTAACATTTTAGCTTAAGCTAGCAGCACCACACATATGAGCTGATGGTGCTAACATCTTAGCTAGCAGCACCACACATTTGAGCTGATGGTTCTAACATCTTAGCTAGCAGCACCACACATTTGAGCTGATGGTGCTAACATCTTAGCTTAAGCTAGCAGCACCACACATTTGAGCTGATGGTGCTAACATCTTAGCTAGCAGCACCACACATTTGAGCTGGTGGTGCTAACATTTTAGCTTAAGCTAGCAGCACCACACATTTGAGCTGATGGTGCTAACATCTTAGCTAGCAGCACCACACATTTGAGCTGATGGTTCTAACATCTTAGCTAGCAGCACCACACATTTGAGCTGATGGTGCTAACATCTTAGCTTAAGCTAGCAGCACCACACATTTGAGCTGATGGTGCTAACATCTTAGCTAGCAGCACCACACAATTGAGCTGATGGTGCTAACATCTTAGCTAGCAGTACCACACATTTGAGCTGATGGTGCTGACATCTTAGCTAGCAGCACCACAAGTTTTATCTGGTGGTGCTAACATTTTAGCTTAAGCTAGCAGCACCACACATATGAGCTGATGGTGCTAACATCTTAGCTTAAGCTAGCAGCACCACACATATGAGCTGATGGTGCTAACATTTTAGCTAGCAGCACCGCACATTTGAGCTGGTGGTGCTAACATCTTAGCTTAAGCTAGCAGTACCACACATATGAGCTGGTGGTGCTAACCTTTTAGCTTAAGCTAGCAGCACCACACATATGAGCTGATGGTGCTAACATTTTAGCTAGCAGCACCGCACATTTGAGCTGGTGGTGCTAACATCTTAGCTTAAGCTAGCAGCACCACACATTTGAGCTGGTGGTGCTAACATCTTAGCTTAAGCTAGCAGCACCACACATTTGAGCTGATGGTGCTAACATTTTAGCTTAAGCTAGCAGCACCACACATTTGAGCTGATGGTGCTAACATTTTAGCTTAAGCTAGCAGCACCACACATTTGAGCTGATGGTGCTAACATTTTAGCTTAAGCTAGCAGCACCACACATTTGAGCTGATGGTGCTAACATTTTAGCTTAAGCTAGCAGCACCACACATTTGAGCTGATGGTGCTAACATTTTAGCTTAAGCAAGCAGCACCACACATTTTATCTGGTGGTGCTAACATTTTAGCTTAATCTAGCTGCACCACACATATGAGCTGATGGTGCTAACATCTTAGCTTAAGCTAGCAGCACCACACATTTGAGCTGATGGTGCTAACATCTTAGCTAGCAGCACCGCACATTTGAGCTGGTGGTGCTAACATCTTAGCTTAAGCTAGCAGCACCACACATTTGAGCTGATGGTGCTAACATCTTAGCTAGCAGCACCACACAATTGAGCTGATGGTGCTAACATCTTAGCTAGCAGCACCACACATTTGAGCTGATGGTGCTGACATCTTAGCTAGCAGCACCACAAGTTTTATCTGGTGGTGCTAACATTTTAGCTTAAGCTAGCAGCACCACACATATGAGCTGATGGTGCTAACATCTTAGCTTAAGCTAGCAGCACCACACATTTGAGCTGATGGTGCTAACATTTTAGCTAGCAGCACCACACATTTGAGCTGGTGGTGCTAACATTTTAGCTTAAGCTAGCAGCACCACACATATGAGCTGATGGTGCTAACATCTTAGCTTAAGCTAGCAGCACCACACATATGAGCTGATGGTGCTAACATTTTAGCTAGCAGCACCGCACATTTGAGCTGGTGGTGCTAACATCTTAGCTTAAGCTAGCAGTACCACACATATGAGCTGGTGGTGCTAACCTTTTAGCTTAAGCTAGCAGCACCACACATATGAGCTGATGGTGCTAACATTTTAGCTAGCAGCACCGCACATTTGAGCTGGTGGTGCTAACATTTTAGCTTAAGCTAGCAGCACCACACATTTGAGCTGGTGGTGCTAACATCTTAGCTTAAGCTAGCAGCACCACACATTTGAGCTGATGGTGCTAACATTTTAGCTTAAGCTAGCAGCACCACACATTTGAGCTGATGGTGCTAACATTTTAGCTTAAGCTAGCAGCACCACACATTTGAGCTGATGGTGCTAACATTTTAGCTTAAGCTAGCAGCACCACACATTTGAGCTGATGGTGCTAACATCTTAGCTTAAGCTAGCAGCACCACACATTTGAGCTGATGGTGCTAACATTTTAGCTTAAGCTAGCAGCACCACACATTTGAGCTGATGGTGCTAACATCTTAGCTTAAGCTAGCAGCACCACACATATGAGCTGATGGTGCTAACATCTTAACTAGCAGCACCATACATTTGAGCTGGTGGTGCTAACATTTTAGCTTAAGCTAGCAGCACCACACATTTGAGCTGATGGTGCTAACATTTTAGCTTAAGCTAGCAGAACCACACATTTGAGCTGATGGTGCTAACATCTTAGCTTAAGCTAGCAGCACCACACATTTGAGCTCTGTTCATTTTTTTCTTGTCTTGCAGAAAGTGTTTCACATATGAACTTTGACCTCAAAACGGTGTTAGCACGCTGCCTGTCAGGATTCTGTTTTGTGAAGAAATTCTTCACCGATCTAGTGTGTGCCCCACAGCCGAGCTGTCCTGTGTTGTATCCAACGGTTGACTTGTCACATACCTGGCATGCTACTTTTATAGCTGGCCGTTTCTCCTGCATTGTGTTGGTGGCTACATTGATAGACGCGTTACATGCCTTGCACTTCAATCTAAATTATATGCTTGTCATATTAACTCAAGTTCACAAACTCGTGTCCTGTGTAAACATTCAAGTAATATCTATTGACTAGTTGTCAATAGGCTACTGATCTCCTCAGCACAGTCATTTGTTCTCTCTCTATCTCTCTTTCTCTCTCTCCCTCTCTCTCTTTCTTATTAATGTGGCGTGATGAAAGGTATTTTCTTCAATACCTTTGTTTTAAAAAATCGAGCTCTGAATGCTGTCATGTAAACCTCACATTATGTAGATGGTTATGAATAGTGTTAATGATAAGGAATTAATTATACAATTTGCCAACTATTTTTAGTATTTTATTTTTAGGTACAGATCTTCTTGACCATACAACTAATGTATTTATGCTATGTGTCAACAAATAAAACCCCCCATCAATATATCATAGGCAAGACGTTTGAGGATTCATACAGAATTTTTATAAATTCCTAAATGATTTACGTAAATTCCTAAATGATTTACGAATGAAATGTCTAACGTTTCACTTAATTAATGCTGTTTTCTTTTTTGTTTGGTACATTTTGACCCTGCTTATAAAAAAATAACATTTTTAAAACTCTAAGTACACCTCACTGTAATTTTGTGTTTTAAAAAATGATAGATGATAGCAACTATTGAATAGTGCTTTCTTTTTAAAAAATTTCCACGTAGGTTGATTTGAACATTTCATCTGGTCGTATGTAGCTTTCTCCTGACTGTCATAGTGTTGTGTGAATAGCTGAATATTGTCAGTTTTTACAGAGACCTGGCCGTATCACACAAGTTAGCTGGTCTTCTTTGTGTCTCAACATGCCCCCCCCCCCCCCCCCCACATCACCACACACGACAGTACGAACATCCCATTAAAAGCCAGTGGCTTGCATTCATAGAGGCACCTCTTTTATGTTACCGTGGTCACAGGGGGCCACCACCACCACCAACCCCAGGTGAGGGGGGGGATGCTTGTCAACAGCTGATATTAGCACTGTGTTG